TCGTTTGAGTCGAACTTGTCGCAACCAATTGGTCCAGTTTGTGGAAATTCAAGTGAGTCTCTTATCTTCTGAGAAACTTCTCCTGTTATCTCATAAACGTCGTCGAAGCAACCTGTTTCATATAAAACCTTCTGACCTAACTCAGAGCTCTCCAATACAATTTGACGTCAATTGGATGTCTCAATGGAAGTTTATTTATAGCATCTTGAAGTTCTTGCAACCTCATTGGAAGTTCTTCTGGTTCAGGTTGGTATCCGAACAATCCAACTCCTTGTGGAATTGTGTACTTCTTTTGTACTAGAACTTTGTCTGGAACAACTTTTGGTCTTGCTAACAGTGAAAAGTTTGTTTCGTCTTTTGGTACAAAAGTTTCTGTCAGCTTGTCATCTGGAATTGGTTCCAACAAACCTTTCTCGAAAAGAATGTTTACAGCTCTGACAATGTTGCACTTGCCTTTTCCGAAAATGGGTTTGTAAGACTTTCGTTCAACATGAAGTGGTTGTGGACAATTACAATCTTCAACCATGGTAAATTGAACTCAACAACATAGTCGTCATGTGAAGAACCTTTAGCTGTAGGTATGTTGACTCGGATATTGACATTTGCCAACGGTGCAATTTTTGCCAATTGACCTCTGAGAATGTACCTTGTCTTCACACATGACTCAAGATACTTCATCTTCTCATCTGTAACAAGACCAGAGTTCCTGAGACATGTAAGAATGCAAGGTTCGTTGACAATTGTTTCAATTGAATTGTAAATTCCATACCTTGTCAAGTCAATGTCAGACTTATTTATGAAGGGGAAGTATCCAGCATGTTGTCTGACTGCTTGAGGGTTAGGTTGGTACCATTCGAACTTGACACTTGCAATTCCTTCAATTGCATTCAAAATGTCTGAGTCGGAGTCAACCATTTGTTCTCTCTTTGTAGTCTTGAAAGCGTCAAGAAGTTTTGCGGCTGTTTGTTCATTGCCATGTGCATAGTAAATGTGACCATCCAAATCTGTTATGGTCAATCTGAGATTGTGTCCTTTCTTATTTCCGTCTTGTATGGCAGCAAGTACTCCCATGAAGCCTTCTTTGTTCTTTCCTTCGTCAAAGTTTACTGTAAAGGTTCGACCAGATGTAATTTGACTTCTAACTTCACGATACTTTTCATATGCATATCTTGTTTCTTTCCATGGGAGCATGACCATCCTCTGCACTACCTTTTTTCCTTCTCAAAGGATGCAATTGTTCGTCATGTTTCCAGTAGAATCTGGCAAAGCCGTCGTGTCCTTCAACTTGAGGTTCACTAACATCGAAAGGCATGTCCATAAGACGTTCTTCTTCTAACCTCTCTAGTCTGTTTGGATAATTGGCACGTGCTGTTTCCAAATCCATTTCGTAGCGAAGACCAGACAATTTGTCATAGCCTTTTATGGGTCTTCCCTTCCTATATTTAAAATTCTTCGAAACTCTCCAACCATATCCTTGTAACTCTGCTTTTATTCTAGCAGATTTTCTATCGATTCTATATGGGGGCATTTTTATAAAAATAAAAAAATATGTTTTTTTTCTTTACTTAACATAACCGCCTGCTGCCATAAGTCTTTGACGCCAACCCATACCAGCTAATGAAGGTTGACTTGGTTTAGTTTGGAAACTAAACTTTGGTTTTGGTTTATCTTCAGTTTTTGGTTTCTCTTCTTCTATCGGTTTTTCGTCACTTTTCGGTTCCTCTGACTTTACCTCACCTGCAGGAACAGTTGTGTCGTCAACATCTTCATAAATATCATATGCCATTTGTTTTTGTTTTCCTTTCAACTTTTTGTGTTTGTTGTAAAGTTTAGAATATTTCGACTCTAAGTCAATGAGATGTTCTATAATGAACTGTTGGTCAGTGAAGTAAACTTTTCCATCTGTTGTCTCGAAAGCTCCTTCAGACTTCAATATTTTATTTGTGAGAGTCTGTTTCTTTTTTGAGATACTAGCCGTTCCATTTTTATGAAAAGTGACTTTATAGTTAGGGTTTGTATTTCCAGACCTGGCACTTTCTATTATTGAATTTTTTCTCTTCATCTGTAAGTTTTGACAGGTTTTGACAATGGTTCTGAACTTTTTGTTTGTGGTGTCAAATCTACCGTTTCAACTTCTTCGGTCATTTCACATCTCAGTAAAAAATTTTAGTTTGGTTTGTTTTCAACTGGTTGTTTAGGTTTTTTAAGTCGGTCTAAAACTTCCTGAGGTATAGGAAGAACTTGACAAACACGTGGTGTAACTGCTGGAAGTCGACAAATCCATCTTGAACCCATTTGTCTCAATGCTGTATTGTTCATTTCATCTCAGTAAAAAACTTTACATTCCCCACGTTTGAGGCGGTTGAGGTTGGTTATTGTTTACCCACTGTTGTGCATGGTTATATCCTCTGTTAAAGAATCTTTCACCTTGGTCCATATAGTGTCCTGCTTGGTTATAGTAGTCATTTGCTTTGTTATAATAGTTTCCTGCTTGTCTTCCTACATTGTCCATCCATCCTTGAACTTTTCCTCTTGTTTCAGGATTTGGAATAAGATTTGTTGCATCTCGTGCTACATCCCAACCTTTCTGTACAGTTTGTATAATAGGTTGTGCTTTCTCTTTAAGTATACCTAATGTACTCAAAATCTTCCTTCCAACTCCAAATACACCTCTGGCTATTGTTCCCACTGCGGGCAAAAATCTAGATGCGACTCCTGCTAATGCGCCAAATAAACCCATTTCTTATAGGATAAAAAATGACGAATCCAAAAAGGACCCCTATGTTTCTAAAGCGACAAAGAAAGCACTCATGGTAAAAATCTTTAGTTCAACACCAAATGCTTGGTTTATGGATATCTTGGAAAAACATTCCGAGGTATAGAGAAGATGGACCACCATACTGGTAATATTTGTTGGTCAAAACACAAGATACTGTGAAGCCATACCATTATGGTCCAAAAATATTTTAGATGTGAAAACTGCTTTGACAATATTCGTTGACAAATACCATCCAACAAAACTGACATCTGACTGTGAAAGTTCTTTCAAATCAGATGATGTAAAAAACTATCTGCGTTCAAAAAATGTAAACCAATATTTCATTGTCGACCAAAACCATTCTGCTCTTGGTGTCATTGACGGTTGTATAAAAATGTTAAGAGACTTAAACCAACCACAAGGTGGTGAAGCAAATGAAATGTCATATGACGACAAGTATAGACACTTCTCCATGGCAAAGATGAGACAAGTTTTAAATATTTACAATAACCGTAAACAAAAAGGTTTGGGAAACCACTCCCCGAAGAAATGAAAAACAACCCTGACTTAGAGAAAGACTATATATTTAATAATTTAGTCAAAAGAGACAAACAAGAAAGAAGGCCGGGCTTCAAACTTCAGAAAGGTGACAAAGTAAAAATAGAAATACCTAAACGCGACCCATATGAAAATACTATTGACTATGACAACAATGGGAACTCGACAGGTACTCACATTCGTGTTCGTAAAAATAGAAGAAAGTATACAAGAGAATATTATGAAGTTTTAGGCAAACATGGCAAATGTACACACTGCAAGCAGAAGATAAAACTACTATTGCCAGACCTCGTTTCAAACTTGTCAAAGTTCAAGGTGGTATACTTTCAAAGACAGTTCCTAACAAATATAAGACAACTCCTGACGAATATGCTAAAGAAGTTGAAAATGACGACTAAGCATTTCTATACCATGCGTAAACTGTCATGTAAGGTGGCATATTCTTTACTTTGTCCCGTTGTTTGCGTATATCCTGTAACGCGATGTGTATGGTTTTCCTGCCCTCAGTGTTACTCCAGTAACAATCTATAGCAAACTTAACGTTGTCTTTAACATCATATCCTTTACCTTTTATCATTCCTGACCAATCCCAATATCTATGCTTATGCCAACCTGCTTGAGATGTACTTAAATCTATGTAGTGACTGTGTGCAGGTAAATTTTCACCTGAAATCGTTTTACTTCCACCTGTTTCCTTTGAAGAGTTTGCACAATACAAAAACCTGTCGACTATTTGAGTCCAAGTTCCAAAACCCAGAACTGTTTCTGGTCTGGTAGAGTTCATTGACGTATAAATAGAGCCTATAGGATATAATGTTTGAAGTATTTCTGTCTTTAATGTTTGAAGCTCTGTTTTGTCTGCTTTCTTGTCTAACTTTTCTTGAAGTTCATTTACGTCAGAAATGTTATGTTTATGATATTTTTGTGGGTATGTTCCTTCTGTCCATGCGAAAATATATTCTTTTGTTGCATCTACATATCCAGCTATCCATTTCGAGTCTGCTTTTGTATTCCTTAACTCTGTAACACCTTTCTCAAGCTCTTTCAACTGTTGTCCATCTTCCATTAAACCTCTGGTATGACTTGAAACCGTTTGTGCCAACATATCTACAGTTTCTTTGTCAGGTTTGTCATCTAACTTTTCTTGAAGTTCATTTACGTCAGAGATGTTATGTGTATGATTTTTGTCGGCTTTATTTGAAACATCTATGTCAAGTCTTTGCAAATGGACACTATCTTCCATTAAACCTCTGGTATGACTTGAAACCGTTTGTGCCAACATATCTACAGTTTCTTTGTCAGCTTTCTTTTCAACATCCTCTTTTGTTGCATATGTTGCATCTGCTCTGTCATGTTCTTCTTGAACTTTTTCAATGACATATTCTTTGTCAGCTTTGTTGTCAACATCTGCTTTCAAAAGAAGTTCATTTATAGGTTTCTCGTTTAAAGTTCCTTTTGTTGGATTTATACAGACAGTATGGTTCTTATTGTCTTGAAACAGAAACTCATCTGTCATTGGGTTTAATGTCAGTTTTAAGTTTCCTTCTTTCAATGACTCAGATATCTTAGAATAGTTTGAAAAGTTTGTTGTGTTCTTATTTAGAGCTTGCATAATGAGTTGTCGGTTGTGTTGTATTTCTCTCATGGAAGCAATATCTTTCGACATTTTTATTCTAGATAAAATATGCTTTCAATAGAAAAAGAAAATTCAAGAGTTGCTACAACTAAACCATTAGATGAACTTTTTACTAATGTCGGTCAAAAGTTTGAGACAGAGACCGTAAAGCATGAAGGCTATCGTTTTGACTACCCATTAAGATGGCTAAGAGACCCATCTGTCACAAAAGCTATTGGCTTTCGTAGAATGAAGTTCATTTCAGAAGCCATACATGGTTTCCCATTTACGGTCGGTTTTGAAGTTCGATACTATAACAAAGAAAAACATACGTATGAGAAATTTGAACAGGGAAAACTTTTACAAGTTAGTTTGCTTGTAAACTTAGAAACAACTCTTCAAGCTTTTCAAGAAAAAATAAACGACATCTATATCGAATATGCAAACCAGTATAACATTGACGAAGGAGAATACCATCTCGATATTATTTATGACAGGAAAAAATGCAACTGTTAAAATCAATAAAATAGAAGACCTTGGAGAAAACGTTTATATTTCTACAAAATATAACAACTTGGCATGGTATAGATTTATGAGGATGTTAAATCAGCCTGCAGCATATCCAGTACACCCAGACTTTTATGAAGTCGAAAACCCTAATGGAACATATGAAAATATTTTCGACCAAGATGCTATTATTGTTCATGCTTCATTTTCTGGCGCCCAAAACTCTTTCTTATGCTTGGCAAATGACTTTTACGAAAAACCTACAAAGTTATACGAACCACCAAGTGGAAGTATTTCAGACTTTCAAGTATGGTTTACTACAGATGGAAAAAAAGAATAATTCCATTATACCATGCGTTTTACTTAGAACTTAGTTTCATATACAACTACTATCGAACGGTAAAAATATAATTTTTTAATACGGTTGAGGTGTTGGATTTGGTTGCCAACTAGACTGTGGTGCAGGTTCAGGCTGTTGTATAACAGGAGCTTGTTCTTCTGGTTCAGGGTCTTTAGGTATAATACCAACAAACTGACCTACTCTTTTACCAATATTTTTGACACCGTTCCATACTCCTCTTCCGACAGATTTTATTCCATTCCATATACCTCTTCCAACTTTCTGAAGAAGTTTCCAATACTACTGAAGAAACCCATTTTACTATATGTAAAAATCTAATGTCCGCCTAGTCTCTTACGTTTCCTGTTGAGTTCCATAGCATTCTTTAACTGGAGCTCATACATTCTGTTTCTCCTCTGGTAGAAAACATATTCTGGGTCAACTCCTGTGTTCGCGTCATCTGCATAAAGTTGTTTATATCCCACTTCAGGGTTTGTATAAAACTCTTTCCATCTCATATTTGCATACCATGGTGGCAAACCTAACGCAGCGTCATTTGACATGGCAGTTTGCATTTGTACATCTGTTGGCACTTGACCATAGTTGCCATTGCAGTTTGTATTCTAACTTCATTTGGAATATTCTCTGGGTTTGGTTGTCCAGGTTGCTGTGCATTCGCTAAGTTCTGTGCGTCCATTTAATATTAGATAAAAATATCTCTTACGAGTACATATACTGAACATTTGCAGGCATTGGTTCATCTTCATATTCTCTGTACTTTTCTGCCACGTCAAATAAATAAATGACACAATGGAAAAACCTAAAACAAGTAGTCCTATTTCAAACCACATTTACTTACTAATAAAATTTCTTTGTTATGACACTTTCTCCAGTTTATAGGACCTCTCTCATATTCTATCTTGTCATATATAAACTCATAGTCATGTATGTCCTCTAACCATCTCATAACGGTTTCCAAACCACTTTTATCGGATGTAAAGTAAAAGCATGGATGGTTATGTATAACGTCTAAAGTTTCTAAAGAGTCTCTCAAAGTCCAGTCTACTTGGTATTGAAAATCCCATGTGTTATAGAACGGCGGGTCCACTATAAAGAAAACATTTTCCTTGTCTTTATATTTTTCATACAACTCTGTCCAATGACATCTCACAAACTCTATACCCTCAATATATTTTTCTATGTCCTCTTTGAAAACATTTGTATAGTTAAGATATAAAACTTTTGACATAAGTGTTTCAATGTCATGAACTCTTATAGCACCACTATATAATAGTCTAGCAGATATACTATTCCAGTCTATATATTCTGCTTTTTTCAAAACCTCTCTCACAATATTTTTCTTATCTAATGGTATACGTTCCATCTTACCTATAGGTATCTTTTCTTTTAACTCTTTCAATATATTGTTTGTGTCTGGAATATGTTTGAGACGGTTCATATAGTTGTCGAAGTCATTGCATATAATCTTTGAGTCAGGAAATACGGTATGGCACAAATGGGATATATAGAAACTTCCACCGAACAAATCTACAAATGTTAGACCATTCGGTAGTTTCTTAAGTTCTCTCAATATAATATCTTTACATCTACTCTTATTTCCAAAGAACGGTAACGGTGGTTTTGTAAAATTCATTTATATATAATAATAAAAATGTTTTTACCCGAAAAGTGACAGAAAAGTGACAAAACATGAAAACATATATAATTTGTGAAAAGCGACACATTATATAATGTTTTCGACCCAGAAGACTAACAATTTTCCGAATAAAAACTTCATTTATACTAAACATCTTCGGGGCTAGAGGGCGCAACGCGCCTGGAAGCCCTCCAAATATAAACTTCATTTATACTAAACATCTTCAGGGCTAGAAGGGGCGCAGCCCCTGGAAGCCCCTCATACCTGACCTCTATATATTTTCAATAATGGAATTTGAAAACCATTCTCAAAAGTTCTCAGAAAACCTTTTTTTCATTAATTTTAAGAAATCTGAGTATTAAATTAAGTGATAAATTCGTTTGACACTACTTTAATTTTTAAATTCAAAAAATTATATGTGCTTCTTAAAATGACTCAAAAAATTTTATTATAAAATAATATATAATATTAAAAATCCCACAACATTTTTTTACTTTACATAATCGTACTTCCTCGACGATTAATTTCCACTCAATTTCTATCGTTGACCGAACTTAGCATGCAACAATATGATTTATACATATGAAAAATAATATATAAAAATATAATTTTGAGATAATTATGTAAATAATATTTTAAATATTTGAATTTGAGGTATAATTTTATAGTAAAATATATTATAAAGAGTATTTATATAAATAATGTAAAATAATATAAGTAATAAAAATTGAGACCCCTCCCTGTTTTTGATGTTTTGTCACTTTTTCGGTAATTCTTATTGTTTCCTGATACATAATCAGTGCTTTGTAGGCTCCTATTCCCTCGAGAAAGTTCGAAAACTTGGTCGCAATTGCATCTGATTGCGACCAAGTTTTCGAACTTTCTGGTAGGAATTGAAGGGTGAGAGGTATATAGTATGCCTATATGCCTCTCACTCTCAGATTACATTAACGTACATAAAAAAAATATTTTTAGATTGATTTTTACTAACCTGAACCTCGGAGTAACGAGGTATTCGTAGATATGATGTAGGCTATTGTTTTAAGCGGTAAGCTCGGAAACTTTTGTTAGATAACTTAGCATCCAAATCTACGATTTGCAATGAATCATCAGTAAGTAAATAGTTGTATTAAAAAGATGTAAATACGATAATATTAAGTGTTTATTCGTAATGATTTGAGAATTTGTTGAAAATTTATTGAACTTGCTCGAGATTTTCATTTTCTGAGCTCGTCAATGCTTTCCTTAAGGTTTTTTAATTGACCGTCGACTATCCAGAATGGTTCTTGTTCTGGATTTCGATACCAGTGATCATCAATTTCACTGGCCTCGAATTCATTCGGCGTAAAGTAAACGTTCGTTTCAGGATTCACAGGCAAAGAAGAATGGGGCATATTATTGTAAAATCTGATGACCCGTGGAAGATCTGATTCTGACTTGCAGTTTCTTTCCACGTATGGCCACCATCTCTCAATCTTACCATTTGCCTGTGGATTGCCCGGTTGAATGAAAATATGCTCAATTCCACGTTCAACCAAAAGTTGATGAAATGAGCTTTTATTTTCAAGGCCGTTATCGGTCCAAATAGCGTATGGTGGTTGAGGTAGAGTACTTAATGCTCTTTTAAGAACTGCAGTTGTATTTTGAGCTGTTTTTTCGGTAAAGAAATTAAAATCTATGATTTTTCGCGATCTGTCGTCTATTATCGCAAACAAATATTTGCCTATTCGTTTCCTCCAATAGTGGATATCAGCATGCCAAATTTGATGACATTTGGATGCTAGATAATTTCGAGGAATGTATTTTTGCTGACTTTCTTGATTTTGAGGGGGAGTATCTGCGATAATCGCTTCGTGTATTTTCCTGCCCATTCTATATGAGGGAGAATCGAAATTTTTTGTAATGTATGTTGCCGTTTGAAGAGATTCGCGTAATGGATTTATTTCAATAGGCGTACCTTCTATTGGAGTCACAACTGGAACTAAAGTTGTGCGGTCAACTTCATCGAGCCAGTTTCCAGACTCATAATTTATTTCTCCATTTTTTTTGAATTTCTGATTGAATTTTTTGAAATTCTTCTGGATTCTTCTCAATATTGACAAGGTCTGTTTTCATTTTCTGAATAATTTTATTGATGCCTGCATCGGGCATTAAATCTTTCAAATTTGCATAAGCTTGGCAGGCATCAAGATTAATTTCTATTTGTTTTCTTCCAAATTTTCTCTGACAAGCTTTTTGAACATGGTTTTGGATATTTCACGAAAGGTACCATTATTTAAACGGGCCTTTTTGCAAATATCCTTTAGCTTCATTCCAGAGTTAATTTGTTGAACCGATTCCTTTAGCCATTCGATGTCAACTAATTTTCTGGAGGTACGATGCCAGTGATATGGATCCATTTGATTTTTGTAAAAGTTTACAAAAACTTCCATTCTGAAAAATAGTATGGATTTGATATAAAAAATAATATGTAATAGTGTAATATTGATTAAATAATAAAAATAAGTTTTTTTTTTAAAATAATTTTGGCGCCAAAAGTCACTTTTTCTAGCGACCCTTTTCGGTATGGTATACTCCGTCGGATTACGAACCTATTTTTATTATTTTTTATATCAAATCCATACTATAAAGTGAGTTTAAGTACTACTGTGAACAGCATGAGATTGAAGTAATGAGTAAAGGAGACTTTGAAACGCTTATGAAAGACAGTAAGGAGGTCGTTCATGAATGCAATGATGAAATAGTTCACGATGTCGTTCGTGAAGAAGCCATTGCAACAAAGAATGAGATAAAGGATTTCATAGAACTTAACAAGGAGGAGTTTAAAGAAGGCTATGAAGTGAAAAGATGTGAAGAAGATTTCTTGGCGTATTTGAAGAAAAAGAGACTAAAGCCAATGGCTCAAAATAAGTTTCAATCGATGTTTGAAAAGAAACGTTTGAGCTATGGTGGTGTAAGAAGCACATATTACTTTGTTAAGAAGTGAGGACATTTATTTTTGTCGTTAGTGTTGGAGTTTGTGTTTGTTGTTAGTGTTTGTCATTTGTGCTGAGGTTAGTACTTGATGTTAGTGTTGGAGTTTGTGTTTGTTGTTAGTGAGAGAATAAATTAAATCATAAACTTTGCCATGGTCTCTGTCCCTAGTAGTTTTCATTAAGTTCTGGAAATAATGAAAGTCATAAACTTTGCCATGGTCTCTGTCCCTAGTAGTTTTCATTATCTCACAGAGTTAATGAAAGTCATACTTTCTATCAGATGAAGCATGCAGATGAACATAATGAAAGTTAGTGGGTTTGCCACGAGTTATGAATAAAATATTGGCATATTAGATGAGGTAGCTGATGAAACAGATGAAGATAAATTAAATCTTGGACTTTGCCACACTCTGTCCCTAGTTCCTCAAAATCCTTGACAACGTTGCTTAGAAATTTTGGTTCAAAACCTCATCTGATTTTAATCTGTTATGCTACCTGTTAAGTTTCGCGAGATTATAAATGTCATGGAGTTATATAAAAAGGAGGGACAGCTATGGACACTGGAAGTACTTGTAAGGCTATCTGTTAAGATTGCATGAAATACTAAAAAGTCATGAAATCCATTATCGCTGTGCTAGCTTCACCTTAGAGTAAAATGACAAATAAAGTCACTGAAGCAATGAAACAAAAGTTTTTGGTAGAATACATTAAATCAGGAGCGGTTCCAGAAGGTTTTTACGTTCATACTATGAAGGATGGTAGAGTTCAGTTTAGAAAGATAAAGCAACCATTAGATAAAGAAGGAATTTTGAGAAAGATTAAACTTCATGAGGACAACATTGCTAAACTTAGGAAGAAGCTAGAAGAGTTGGAGAAAGGAAGAGAGTTATAAAGCAATGAATTCAACAGGGTGAAAAACCGGGTGAAAAAAGAGGTGAAATCTCACCTCTTCACCTAATTTATTTTTTGTGCTATGTTTTCATACGTGTGAGGGTGGCGATATCATTTATTTTTAAGTTTATTTTTTATTTTATTTTTTATTTTATTTTTTATAAATGACAGAACAAAAGCAACTCATACAAATCGAAAAATATAACAAACATACATTTAAACATTTATTCTTCCTTCCTGAGCATAACATGTTCTTTCAAATACATCCGAGACCAGTTGACTTTTCATTGACTGTGTATAAAGATAGAAATAGTTATATCATTAAACCATATGATGACGAAGGTAAGTTATGTAAATTGTACGTTAAGAAGTTAGAGAAAGTTTATGGCTTCAAGTATGACTACAATAGGGTTAACACTGATGATGAAGATATTGAGGAAAATTTATGAGAACATTAGTGAAGTCGTTAGTGAGAACGATAGTGAGAACGTTTATTTTTTACATTAGTGAGTTCGTTAGTGAAGTGGTTGGCGGCTTTGTAGATATTTAAGGTTAAGTTAGTGTTGTCGTTTGTGTTGTAAAATATACGTTAGCGGTTTTGTAAAGTGTCAAATTCACAAGTATTGGGTAAGGAGGCGCGCAGTGTCTCCGTACCGAAGACTTGTATACTAACTCCGTCAAACTCTAAGTATAAGCATGCCTCTATATGTAGAAACTGTCTGCGCTATTTATTTCCCGGCTCAAAAAACCACGGTGTCTGTGTGAGGAAAATACCCATTTTAGGACCCTGGGTAGGGGGTCATGAAAATTTTCCAAGAGTTGGAAATATAGGGTAAATCTTGGCAAATTATAAATCTCAGGAAATTCGGAATAATTTTGAATTTTTACACCATATAATCTTCCCTTTAACAAAATAAACTAAACCAAAATTGAAGGGAAACAAAAAAAAGTCATTTACAAAAAAAAAGGTAAATTTCATTTAAAAAGTTGTTAATATTATTGTATAGACGAAAAAAGAAGCGCTTTACCACTTGTTTGTTGTGAATTTTACAGATATTTCTTTGTAAATAATTATTTAACATAAAGTTAAATTATGTCTTGATTTTGCATCTTGTATGCATATATGCTGTTAATTTTAGCTTTTAAGCCAACAATTTTTTGAAAAGTATCAAGATCGCTTTGAAAATATTTAAAGGATGTAAAAAGCCTCATCAAATTTTATATTGATAAAAAAATTAATTATGATTGTTTATTATTCTTGAATATCAGTAAAATAATTTTGTAATCAAATAAACCCATTACGATATTCAGAAACATAATACGGGGCTTTTGAAAATCGGCTAATTCAAATAAAATTCAATATAATTGAAATTAATTTTCACATTTCGTATATATACTCTTGTATATATATATTCTCCATGAGACTTTTGATAAGGCTTTTAACATCATTGTCAAAAGAAATTTTGAGAGCAATTAAGCCAAAATTTAAAATATATTTTTTTCTATTATGAATTTCTCTCCAAGTGATCGTATTGTTAAAGATATGATTCCTGCATTTGAAAAGGAATTTGGAGAGCGACCTCAATGTGTGGGACGTGCACCAGGGAGAGTAAATCTTATTGGAGAACATATTGACTATTGTGGATTCTCTGTCTTTCCAATGGCCCTTGAGGGTAAATATACTACTGCGATGATGTCAACTAATAAAAGCGGGCTACTTCGTATTAGAAACATTATTTCAGACCATGTTGGTTCAAATATCAAACGTGACAAGAACAATCTTGAATTATATGGATGGGGAAGATATGTTGAGAGCATAGTCAAAACATTCCTCGAAACGTTCAATCGAAAAGTCGAAGGACTCGATGTTTTAATTTACGGAAATATTCCTCTTGCTTCTGGACTTTCTTCATCGGCTTCTTTACTTTGCTCAGTTGCTATTGCTTTAGATTTGATAACAGGTGGTGGTGCAGATAAAACAAAGCTAGTTGAGACGTGCGTTCTAGCTGAACATCGTGTTGGAGTCAAATGTGGTGGAATGGATCAAGCAATTGCTATTTATGGTAAGAAAGATTATGCATGCGTTACTTCATTTGTTCCAAAACTTACGGCTATTCCTGTTAAACTTCCTCCTGCACATTTTGTAATAGCGCATTCAGGAATTGCAACTGCAAAGCTTCAAACGGCAGAACATTGTTACAATAGAAGAGTTGAAGAAGTTACAAGAGCAGCAGAATTGATGCTACCTGGAGCAAAAACCATAAAAGATGTTGTTAAAAAGTTTGGATGGGATGATGCAATGGAAGCAGCGAAAAATCTTCCTGAAAGAGAAGGAAAACTTGTCATAAGAGATAGAGCTGTTCATGTTATTGGTGAAGCACATCGCGTTCTTAAAATGGATGGTGCAACAATACAGCAATGGAGAGAATTGATGAAAGCATCACATTCATCATGCAGAGATTTATATGAATGTTCTTGTACTGAACTAGACCAGCTCGTAGAAACAGGACTTAAGAATGGAGCACTTGGAGGCCGATTGACTGGAGCTGGATGGGGTGGTTGTGTTGTTTTCATTTTAACAAAACATATTGATCCCCAAAAATTTATTGAGAGTGTTAGAAAACAGTATTATGAACCAAGAAAAATACGAAATCCAGTGATATTTTCAACTACAGCAGGAGAAGGTGCTCAAGCATTTAGATTATGATATGTTGAAAAATTGTTTGTTTTATTATTTTCTTTCTTTTTAAGATTTGCGTTGCTATGCGTTGTTTTGAATATATAGTTTAAGAAATAAATTCTATCCTATTAAAAATTGGAATTTTATTTTCAGCATTCTTGTTGAATGGTTGATGAAAATAAGTTTACAATGAAAAGTTATTAAATTGTTTTAAGTGTTTAATGTAAAATTTTATAAAATGAAGTCAAAGATTTGAAATCAGAAATAAAAAATAGAGAAAAATACACGAAAATAGAATAATTTAATATATATTTGTATTAGAAATACTATATTTTGTGAGAGAAAGCGTCAATTGCATCAAGTACCGCTTCATAAGTTGCAATTCCGCACATAATGACTCCGACGACAGAGAAAGTGATCATCAACCACGTCTTGTAGTTAGAGAACTTAGTTTGGTAGAGTTTGATGTACATCAAAGGAGGAAGGCAGTAATTTGTAACTCCTCCTCCGAGAGCTCCGCCAATTGCAAGTGCAGGCCTTGCGTTAGGCAGGAACAGAGCTACAAGGAGTGGAGGAGCGTTCTCCAAAGCCAGGCAAACCAATCTTTTGGCGAATGGCAAATTTTGTTGTTCCTCAGTTCCGAAAAAGATTTGGGAGTACATTGTGAGCAATGAGAGGCCAATCATCGGATAACTGGATACAAGAACAATGAAACAAGCAATACGGATGATGACAAACAATGGATCGCTGTCTTCGAAATTATTCAAAATTAATGGTTCGCATTTTTGTCCGAAAAGGAGGTATCCGATTACGGCTGGTATCAATACGAACATGTATGATGCAAAGAATGAAATTCCGCATGAAACATTTCGGAGATGTAAAGATGGAGCCATAACTTTGACAATTGGGATGATAATACCAGAAAGAGAATAACAGAGAACATGTACAGCTAAAGCGTTGAATATATGTAAGTTAAACGTTGCTGTTTCGGCGGTTGGATCAATTCCAGTTTTTGGAAGGACAGTGAAGCCTTTGTATATCATGCCGAAGAAGAACATTGATAAGGCAATGAAACACGAGAATGAAATATAGCTTAGGAAAGTCATATTCCTAGGAACAGTTAGTAATATAGGTAAACCGAAGGCATAGCATATAACAGTGAGTGCTCTCTTTCCAAATGAGTGCAAATCAATGTGTACAGCCATTGCCCATGACTGGATGATCTCCGTTCCCATGATTACATATGCAACCATGCAACTGTAGCAAAATAAGATAAGAGAAGCATCTGAAATGAGCTTTCCTGGCTTTCCAAGTGTTGTTTTTGCAATAATTGCAAATGAATTGATTCCTGATATTGTGTGCATTTTAACTACCATTGAAGCTGAGATAAAAGATAGAACAGCTGATGCTGTTAATATGGCTGTTGACGGAACTAAGCCACAAAATCCAAACGAGTTTGAGATTGATAAAATTCCAGCGCCGAGAGTGGAATTAAGAAGATTTAAACTCGTTGCGATAACTCCTGTGTATTGAGGAGCCTTATTATTTGTGGTAGCCACCGAATTTGCTTCGGTGAATAAAGAAACATCTTCATCATGATCATTCATATCAAATTGAAAGAAACATACGATAGAAATTTTCATCAAATTTTGGCATATGGAATGGTTGATTTATCCTTTAATATATGTGTGTACGAATTCAAAATTCTCATCGTTTGATATCAAATCATAGATGGTGTTCATTCAATTTTTTTTAATCGTTTTCGACGTAAAGCAATCAATTTTTTTATCTTTTCCCACAATTTAGGGTTCCTGATTAATCTCATTTTATGGTTAGGTGTTCAACTGAATATTTGAAATTGAAATGTAAAAATATGATTTTTTGCTTCAAAATAAAAATACGCTCAATAAAAGTGACGTATGCGCATTTAAAAAAGAGCGATTCGGGAATTTGAGCGAGAGATTAAGATCTAATGATGTACCATATCGCTGTTGTATTGTTACCTTTGATATTTGAGGTCTTAATGATCAAAATACAATTTCATATTTTACATTAGCTAACATACTATTGATTTCTAATGAGTTAAGTTTGAATTTCAATGTTGTTATATTTCCAATTGAATATATAGTAAAATAAGAAGTACAAATAATTTTTGAAGATATCGTGAACTATTAATCACCTGCATGTGTAATCGTTTAAAGATCGTATTAATCATGATTTTCCATTAAATAAACATTGTTTTTGTCATAAAATGAAAGAATCAATTCAATAGTTGTAAATAAACATCTGGACAATTATAGTTTAAGGAGTTATTTTAACTAGCATTTGTATTTTCAGTAAAATGCAAGTGGATGCAAAATTTTTCGTTGAGAAAGCTTTCAAAATGTTAATTCAATTTTTAAGAAATATTGAATCAAACCGTAAAATCAATAAATTCATATTAGTTTAAAAGTGCATAATTCTGAATTTTATTTATTTTTATTGCTCTTGGAATTAATATTCAAAAAAATTCCGAACTTTATCAAAATATTGATATTTGCAAATTGCTTTGCAATTAGTAATTTATGAATAATCATTAAAATTTGCTTTTCCACAGTTTTCCATACGAATATTGAAATTATATTGAATTTTCTTTTCGATTTCTTGTATTTAAAATAGATTCTATTAAAAAGATATAATAGCGGATAAAAAATTGATTGAGATAAATATTTTATCGGCGAAAAGTATTAATAAAATCTCATAAGCCAATAAAAATCATGTGATTAAATAAAATGAATATTTTATAGCAAAACGTGACAATTATGTCTGAAAATCAAGAGCAAGCCCGCGCCCAAATTAGAAAATTAATAGAAGAATATACTCCTCAGGGTGATTCAGAAGTTAGGACTTGGATTTTATCAATTACAAATTTCTTAGCCAAATGCCAAGATCTTCTGGTTGAAGCTCCCGATCATCATCTACTAATTGGTTCATTAGCTTTATTGGAGGGGAGAGTTGTCCTGGTGCTAATTCAATCTCATCACTTACAAATGATACTTTTGTCTTATCAAATATGATATTTTCTCGATAATTTTCTGATTCATCTGTAAGATAATTCATTCCTTGTGTTGAATCAGCAGCTGAGATCACATCATCTTCCAAATAATCAGAATTGGTAGGTTCGGAAATGACAGCAGTTGTGTCTTCTAGAGTATTGTATTCAACATCGTCTTCTTGTTGAAAACTAAAACTTTTATTAACTTGAAATTCTGTGTCAGTTGTTAAATCATTTTCAGTTAGAAATACTCCGTCATTTATCTTTGTTGACGTAAGATCTGCTTGAAAAGCAGATGAGTCTTTGGAAATATCATTCTGAATTTCAGTATTTTTACTCTCTGATGATTCAAATATTATGTCACTTGTCTGTGTGATTTCGCATTTAACAAATTTCTTTATTTTTGACTTCCCAATTCGTTTGGGTTGTATATGTTGGTATTTCGATGCATAATAATATGAATTTTGGCATGGTTCTGTACACATACTTTTGTTATTTCGCTGTTGGATGTTTGATTTCTGAGAAGGTTTTATTTTTGTTGAGTTATTTTTCCTGGAATTTTCGTCTATTTCGGTTTTTGTTATAGGTTGAGTTAAATTTCTACTATTTTGAACTTCCTGATGTTGGAGATTCTCTGAATCGGTCATTCCATTTGAAGATAATAATTGAAACGATAACGTGCAGCATCTCTCGCTTGTATTAATTGTTGATTTATTTGTTGGGTTGCATACTTCAACTGGTATTGGTTTAATTTCCATTTCAAATTTTGAAGAATAACGCTTCGAATTCATGAATCATAAAAAATGGATTATTGACCAATTGTCTGATTAAAAATCTTTGAAGTAATTGAATTCCATCTGGTATATCAAAGATTGTTCATATATTTTGATAAATCAATTAAATTTCAATATGCAATTACATATCTGTTGCTTATTGATTCGACACATCCATGCAAACTAATTTTGATTCATGATCAAACATAACAAAAACTGTTAATTTCAAAATATAGATATTAGGTTTAAAAAAAATTAAATTTAATGATTTCAAACGAGGAGTTTTTGTTCCAAATTGTTGTCACATTCGGCTGGTGCATTAGAAATCTTCTTCGAAGCTTTCGTGTAACTTCTGCGGTGATTGAACTTGCAGCACATGCAGCAAAGAACGATTGCCATAATAACATTGGAAATGAAGAGTGCTGGAATTCCGACATAGACAAGAACTTTGAAGAATTTTCCATTATTATAATGATTTTGTCTAGCTTGAATACCTTTTGAAGCTGAATCGTTTTCACGATCATTGCTTTCATCACGCTTGTCCTCGCGCTTATCTTCACGGCGTTCATCACGCTTATCTTCACGACGTTCATCGCGGCGTTCATCACGCTTGTCCTCGCGGCGTTCATCACGGCGTTCATCACGACGTTCTTCGCGCTTATCTTCACGACGTTCATCATGACGTTCTTCGCGCTTATCCTCGCGGCGTTCATCACGACGTTCATCGCGGCGTTCATCACGCTTATCCTCGCGGCGTTCTTCGCGCTTATCCTCGCGGCGTTCATCACGACGTTCTTCGCGCTTATCTTCACGGCGTTCATCACGACGTTCTTCGCGCTTATCTTCACGACGTTCATCGCGGCGTTCTTCGCGCTTATCCTCGCGGCGTTCATCACGACGTTCTTCGCGCTTATCTTCACGGCGTTCATCACGACGTTCATCACTCTTATCCTCGCGGCGTTCATCACGCTTATCTTCACGACGTTCATCACGGCGTTCTTCGCGCTTATCTTCATGGTGTTCATCACGCTTATCTTCACGGCGTTCATCACGGCGTTCATCACGCTTATCTTCACGGCGTTCATCACGCTTATCTTCACGACGTTCATCGCGGCGTTCTTCGTGCTTATCTTCACGGCGTTCTTCGTGCTTATCTTCATGGCGTTCATCACGGCGTTCATCACGACGTTCATCACGGTGTTCTTCGCGCTTATCTTCACGACGTTCATCACGCTTATCTTCATGGCGTTCATCACGGCGTTCATTACGACGTTCATCACGGTGTTCTTCGCGCTTATCTTCACGACGTTCATCGCGCTTATCTTCATGGCGTTCATCACGGCGTTCATCACGACGTTCATCACGGTGTTCTTCGCGCTTATCTTCATGGCGTTCATCACGCTTATCTTCACGGCGTTCATCACGGCGTTCATCACGCTTATCTTCATGGCGTTCATCACGCTTATCTTCACGACGTTCATCACGACGTTCTTCACGCTTATCCTCGCGGCGTTCATCACGCTTATCCTCGCGGCGTTCATCACGCTTATCCTCGCGGCGTTCATCACGCTTATCTTCATGGCGTTCTTCGCGCTTATCTTCATGGCGTTCTTCGCGCTTATCCTCGCGCTTATCTTCACGATGTTCATCACGCTTATCCTCGCGGCGTTCTTCGCGCTTATCTTCACGATGTTCATCACGCTTATCTTCATGGCGTTCGTCATTCTTTTCATCATGCTTTTCTTCATGATGTTAATCACGCTTATCTTCATTGCGTTCGTCATTCTTTCCATCACGCTTTTCCTCATGATGTTCATCGCGCTTCTCTTCATTGCGTTCGTCATTCTTTTCATCATGCTTTTCTTCATGCTTCTCGTCATGTTCATCTTGAATTTCTGGTTGTGTCTCGATTTCTTCTGGATTTACATCATCTTCTGGTTTTGATTCATGTGGTTTATTTTCTTTTTCTTCAGCAATTCTACTGTATTTGATTGCAGATTTGTCTTCCTTAACATGGAATAATCCTTCAAAAATTCTAGGTTTTCATTTTGCTTTGATTGTTCACTGTGTTTATGCTTTAAGATCTTGGATACTATGAATAATCCGATCAGTGTTTAATAATGAAGAAATATAACGACTGATTAAACCTGTTCAATTTCTTCAGAAAATCAAATAACTGTTTTCAAACCTTGATTTCAATGTACCGGATGAATTATGTAAAAATAAATTATTTCACTTTAAGGCATTCCTCAAATTATAGGATAAATAATACAAGTGATAATATTTAACCTATTACCTAATGAAATGAAAGAAAAACAGAATCAATTAAATTCTGAAAACTTTGATTATTCAACAACAATCCATAAAAGCAAGGTTGAGGTGTTTTGACTTATTTTCACTCATAAAATCCAAATACTATTATAAATAAAATTGTCATAAAATGATTTTCAGAGATAAAGCTCACAACACATTTTATTGTACTATGATATTGTTATTTTAGTGAATTTTGCAAATAAGAAATGCATAAATCTTTGAACGAAACATTTCAGAAAATTTTTTAACAAAATTGTTTTGAAAGCTGGAGGACTTAAATATACCATTATGTAATTAGTACTTTATTCTATATTTGAATATGTATTGAAATTATGAAAGGAATTAACGTCTTTATGAAATAAGAGTGAAGTATGGCTTTTTGAACTCAAATCTCAGTCATTCGATCATGAAGACAATCCACAAAGTGATACCACTTTTATTGCTCTTGAATATAAGCATTGAATTCAAAGATATAAAATGAAAGAAATCTGAAAAGACATTATGGTCTACTGTCATTCAGAGTGCATATTATTATCATTCTCCTTAGTTAGATTGTGAAATATCTGAATCGCTAATTGGATTATCTCAAAGGCTTTACGATGAAAATTTTCTGAACGATAGATTAGAACCGCAAAAGTGATTCGGAGATTATTTTTATGTATGATTCGATTAGTGTGATTTATTTCTTTGTTGATTTTGAAAATCAATAAAATGTCAAAAATTTATTTCAAAAAAAGCAATGGGTGGAAATTGCACATGCGTTGGTGACGAAGCTGTTCACCGCGTATTGATGTTAGGTCTGAAATCAGCAGGTAAATCGACGATACTCAATATTATTAAAGAAGATCAGCAAATTCGGACATTTCAAGTTAATGATTTTAATACTCAAACTATCAAATGGGAAGACTATGAACTTGTTACATGGGACCTTGGTTCTGCTGAAAAGCAAAGGCCTCTTTGGCGTCATTATTATGATGGAAGTGTTGCCGTAATTTTTGTTGTAGACTGCTCTGATAAGGAGAAAATTCAATTAGCGAAAACCGAAATACACAAAATTGCAGCAGTTCCGGAATTAACGAATTGTCCAATTTTATTTTTAGCCAATAAGCAGGATGTTGATGGAGCAATTGATCAAGAAGAATTGGAAAAGCTCATTGATGCCGGCGGTACTAAACATCTTACTTATTCTGTCATGCCATGTTCAGCAACAACGAACAAAGGCATTGAAGAAGCATTTGATTGGTTACTTAGTAAGATAAAGGAACACATCAAATAATTCACAAACTCTGAAAGCGAAATGACACAATTAATTTTGAAAAACTTTGCTGAATTTAATTTTGAAAATAGAAGAAGAATGGTATTACTTTCGAAGCGATATCCTATTCAAAAGGAAAGATTTCCTACATTATTTATTTTGTATCTGTTTTATTAGGAATAAAGTTATAAGTCTGCATATGAATCATCTGTAGAACAATTTTTTGCTCCGAAATCCTTCATTACTTGCAAAACAAAATCAATATATTTATTCAAATAAATAATGTGGATAAATACATCAGATACAATTTTTTAACCCCTGTTATTATGTATCCCCTAAACATGAATCGGTGAATCGTGTTACAAATTGCTGAACGGTTTTACGCCATGACCGTTTAAAAATAGAATAATACGCCATTTTTGGGGCCGAATGGCGGGTACGAAGTAGCCGCCATTCGGCCGAATAACAAAACAATACAAAATTATCGCCGTCCTTTTTTTTCTTTCTTTCTTTCTCTTTTTTTTTTCTTTCTCTCTCTCTCTCTCTCTTTCTTTTCTCTTTCCTCTTTTTACTCCTCTTTCTCTTTTCATCATTAAACGTAGAAAGATATATTAATATTATTTTAAAATTAAAAAAAAATAAAGAAAGTGTAATAAGTAATTATTTAGTTATCGATATATATATGGAAAGTGATAATCTGAGGAGGAGTCTGAGGATTAGACCGAGGAGTAGTTTGAGGAGTTTGAGGATAATCTGAGGAGGAGTCTGAGGATAATCTGAGGAGGAGTTTGAGGATAATCTGAGGAGGAGTCTGAGGATTAGACCGAGGAGTAGTCTGAGGATTAGACCGAGGAGTAGTCTGAGGGGTTTGAGGATAATCTGAGGAGTTTGAGGATAATCTGAGGAGGAGTCTGAGGATTAGACCGAGGAGTAGTTTGAGGAGTAGTTTGAGGAGTTTTAGGATAATCTGAGGAGGAGTCTGAGGATTAGACTGAGGAGTTTGAGGAGTAGTCTGAGGATAATCTGAGGAGTTTGAGGATAATCTGAGCATAATCTGAGGAGGAGTCTGAGGATTAGACTGAGGAGTAGTTTGAGGATAATCTGAGGAGTTTGAGGATTAGACTGAGGAGTAGTTTGAGGATAATCTGAGGAGGAGTCTGCGGATAATCTGAGGAGTAGTTTCAGGAGTAGTCTGAGGACTAGTCTGATGAGGAGGACTCTAAGGAGTAGTCTGAAGAGTAGTCTCAGGAGGAAGATCTGAGGAGGAGTCTTATGAGGAAGATCTGAGGAGTAGTCTGATGAGGAGGGGTCTAAGGAGTAGTCTGAGGATGATGAGTAATCTGATAAGGAGTAGTCTGAGGATGATCTGAGGATAACCTGATGACTAGTCTAGGAGTGGTCTAATAAAAATGTAAAATATTTTCAAAGAAAAAATTCTATGAATTTTATATTTTAATTCTTAGCATTATACTGAATAAAATAAACATAAATATCAAAATTTGAAATTGAACACGCCAAAAATTGATAATCCACATTCAATATTTTGTAAGTGGCGTACATTTTGAATACTCGCCATACGCCTTGGAGTTCTCAATTTTGAATTCGCCTTTATTTGGGCGACCTCAGAAAAATACGCCATTAAGAAAATATTGTATGAGATTTTAAATTTGAACACGCTCTACCTTAAGGAATTAAATTTATTAAGATATATTTATATATAATAAACGATTACTTAAAAAAAGTATTTCATCGCTTATGTAAGTTTCAAAAAAATCACGAAAATAAAAAAATCAAGATTAAAATTTTATTTTTAATTTTTGAATTTCTCAAATGGCGAAATTTTTGGGCGAACAAAAAAAATGTACGCCTGGTCAAATGGCGTGTTTAACGCATCCCTATTACAATTTCAAATCGCAATTGAGAAAAAAATTACATTTTTATTCAGAAAAATTTTGATTTTCGTACTTTTTGATTTTTTTCAGGATCATTAAACGAGCGTTTGTACTTCATTTTTGAATCAGGTTCTATGTTTCGTGTTTTATGGGAAATCTAATTATTATCAAACAAATGATTGCATCAATCAATAGTCCGTCGACCATCTGAACAACTCCATATAAATAGTCTGGCTTCTTGGTCTTATGGCAAGCAGAATAGTGCTTTCTCACTGAATTTTATAAATTTTTAATTTGTCACTTTTTTACATAAAAAATGTTTACGGAAGATTCTCTGCCTCCTGAGTTTCATACAATCTTCGATTTCTGCGATCTTTGCTTTTCAATTGACCAAAGTAATCTACCAAGAATACAAGAAATGATCAAAGAAGTTATTGAAAAATCTATTCTTACAATTTACCAGATTTTATCAATCGTTGATTGCGTTTTAATGTGCAAAATACATGATAGGAACGGTACCCTAAGATTTGTCCATAAATTGTTGGATCTTTACGAATTTGATTTTTCAAAAGTTACTGAAATACAATATCCATTCCTATTTCTCGCGCTTATCCAGTTCCAAAAGATCAATGCCGAAAGTGAGATAGTCGCAGATTTGGAAACAGGACCATTGACTGAAGCAGATCTCAGATCAATAGATGAAACAGGTTCATTGGGCAATTCCATTAAAAATGATGACCTTGATAAGCTTATAGAATACTCTGCTGATCCAAAATTCTCAGTTGAACAAAGAATTTTCCAAAATTCTTTATTAGAATTAGCTGCTTTGTATGGATCATTGAATTGCTTCAAATTCTTGCAAGTTAAAGGTGCTAAATTCACAGAGAAAACAGTTATGAACAGTATCAAATCTGATAATTACGAAATTTTTCACATTGCGGAACAAAATGTGAAAATAAACAAAAAAATGTTAGATGAAGCAATTTTACAACACAACGATCCAATTATCAACTACATCATTGATAAGTACTCCATTAATTATAGCTACTCTGCTTGCGCAAAATCCTTTAACTTCAAATATTTATTTAATAAATTAATCCAATCAGGAGATATCAACAATTTTGATTCTCCTGATGGAAATTGTTTGTTGTGTTTATGCGGTACATGTTTTGATATGTTTGTTAAGTTCTTATGCGAGCATGGCGCAGACGCAAATATATTCGATAGCCAAGGCCACACTCCTATTTATTATGCGACAGAATATTGTGAATCCAAAAACATGAAAATTCTCATTGAACATGGAGCTGATATTTTCAAAGCGAAATATGAAGACAACCAAATGAACATTTTAATGAAAGCATGCAAGAGTAATGATTTAGAAGTTGTTAAGACTATTATGGATTGCAAGGATAGACCAGAATTTTATAAGTTCTTGAAGGAAACAGATATTGATGGGAAAACTTCACTTCATTTTGCAATTGGAAGTGGAAACATTGAAATCATTGATTTGCTTATAGATAGTGGTTTAGATATAAATTGTGCTGATAGAGCTAAGTGCACACCATTTATGGTTGCCTGCCATATTCACGGAAATGACATTAATTTGCTCAAGCATCTCATCGAAAAAGGTGCAGACATTCATAAGAAAGATCATATTGGATGCACTTGTTTAAGTTATCTTGTTGATGAAGAACAACTTGAAGGATTAAAGTTCTTAGTTGAACAAGGTGCAGACATAAATGTAAGGAACCAATTAGGAACAACTCCTCTTCTTAAAGTTGCCGATACTAATAACACAGAAATTGCTAAATACCTTATCGAAAAAGGTGCAAATGTAAATTATACAGGATACAAAGGAATTTCTCCATTAATGAAAGCATCGAAACACAACTGTTTAGGAACAATCAAACTGTTATTAGAGCATGGTGCTGATAGATATAAAACAAATGATGAAGGCATGAATTGTTTAGAATTCGCCATAAGTGCAAACAGTTATGATGCTGTTAAATTGCTATTGGAAAATGGAATTGATCCAAACAAAGGAAGATCTCCACTCTTGATGGCGTGTGCAAATAACTACACAGAAATCATTCAGCTCCTTATTGATCATGGATGCAAGATCGATACAATTCATGAAAATGGAATTCAGCCTTTGACAATGGCCATTTTCATGAGACAATATGAAGCTGTAAAAGTTCTTGTCGAAAATGGAGCTGACTTTGACATAAGATATAACGGAGAACCAATGGTTTTAATGGCTTTGAGAGTTCAGGATCCATTGATAGCTGCTTATCTAGTAAGAAAAGGAGCAAACATTAATTATTATTTTGAAAAGATGAACTTTGTTGTTTATTGCATTGTTCACAAGATTTTCCCTGTATTGGATGCAATTAGTGAAACATATCCAGAATTATGGAATGAAATTATAGGAAAAACTGCTAACTAATATTAGATTAATAAAGATTTCTATTATTTTTCTATTAAATTTTGGAGATTTTTATTTTATTAAAATTTCAATTAACAATATTATAAAAAATATTGAGGGTTAAACTAGCACAATACAAATATTTTACGAAATGAAATAGAAACAATTCAAATAGATAATTTCTAAATTAAAGCAATTAACTCACAAAGTAAGTTCTCTTTGGAACGTATGCTGTGGTGGTTCAATAAAATAATAAATCAACATAAACGAAAAGTAAAAATCTTTAGAGTCAGAACCATTAAATTAAATCTTTAGAATTGTAAATCAATTTTCAATCTTTGCAGAATTTTAGGAGCTGTAATGTATTGTATCTCTAATCCCGATATGCTAATTCAGGCATTATTGTTGATGAGCTTCTTGGAAAATATGAAACTACAAATCGATGCATTTAATGCGTTGCTTTATAATTGCATCAACAGTTACAATAGGAATTTGATCTAAAAGAAGAAAAAGAAACAATGATATCAAGTTTGTCACTTTTTCATTTTTTATTTTCACACTTCATTTCAGAAACATGCATATCTTGGTACGCAATGAATTAACTCCATATTGTGATAGAATTAACCTTTGTCAAAACACACCCTATAGATGCCAATGATAAGAAGCTTTTTGAAAAAATTAGGCGAATTTTATTTAGTATTAGCTGGAGTCATTCGATATTCACTACAATATGAATTGATGAATTATCGATTCTCAAACAATACTGGCAATAGAGTAATATTACTTCAAAATACTTGTGAAAAATTTTTTGTTCTTAATTGCTCTGCCAATAATATGAATACTTCATTAGTGTACGTTGATATAGATGAGAAAGCTATCGAGAGAAAGGTAGCTATGTTTATTATTTAAATGAAAATAGCAAACCTTTGAATTGCGTTCACAATTGAGCAATGATTAAATGACAATTTTTGTTTGAAATACACAAGTAGATGATATTCTTATGATTTGAAGGTAGTTTTGATAATCACGAATAAAAAAAGTTATTTCACGGTCTTTTTTTGAAATAATCGAAAAACAGTATATAGAAAGCAGACTCAAAAAGTAAATAACTCTCAATTTCAAAACATGGCGTTCGAATAATTTTATCTAATTGAGAAAAAGTTTTAGTGATGATAGTGTTATTTTAGTAAATAACAGGCAAGAAAAAATATTGATAAAGAACGTAGGGTTTCAAAAAAAAATTATTGTGAGTACGGAATCAAATGATTGGATATGTTTTTTGGAAATAGAATTAAACCTGAGTAATGAATTGTGGGTGTTGACAAACAAATTAAAAGTTAAAACGCTAGTTATGAAAACTGGGTTTCAAATTTTAGCTTTTGAGCATAATAAAAATAATGTTGCCCAAAAATTAACATGTTACAAATACAATAGGAATAAAAAATGTAGAGTTCAAAAATTTTGAATATTCATGATGAATTACTTTTGAGATGCTTTATTTGAAAAGAAACAACTTATACGAAATGCTATTATTTTTGGCTGAAATCCAAGAACTGGAGAAGTGTAAATAATGTAAGATTTTACATAAAAAAGGTGCAACTTTAAAACATTATTGATGTTGAAAATATATTAAGATTATGATAATATAAATTTGAATGCTTATTTTTTGAATGATATATTCTTCGTATTTATGAGAGTATTTAAAAAATTTGTGAAGACTCTCAAAACACGTTTGCAACTTTAATCTCAAATCGTATATTGTTTATAATTGGTGAATCCATTCATATTTCATAAATTACTGTAACTGATATTTTCATTTTGAATTAATTTTTCAAGACCTAATTCAATGATATTTCAAATTCATATATGTATAATTTAACTAACTAATCTTGCTAGAATACTAGAAATATTCTACCCAAATTAAATCAAATAACCTTCTCAAAAAACAATATGCGGCACGTTAAAGTCTATTATTTGAAGAATTTAACTCTATACACAGTGTTATATCAAACTAAGATAAAGGTATAAACTATAACGTGCTATGCATTGAAAAGTTGATAAATAACCTATTCAATTTTTTTCAATTATATTATTTCAGCGAATAAATCCTATTATATATGATTATTAAAGACAAATATCTGATTTTAACTTTTGAAAATTATTCAATATTTTCTGTGAATGTAAAAGAACTATATTTTATCATGGAGCAAAAGGAGATTGACTTTCTTAAAACACAAAATATCACAGTCAAACAGAGTATCGCAAAGGGTGGCTTTGACGAAGTATTTTTGGTCTATTCATCTCAATACAAAAGCGATTTTGCTTTAAAGAAAATCCAGACAAAGCGTTTTAATAGAGCAGAAGTTGAATGCCTTAAAGCAATTGATCATGTTAATATAATGAACCTTTACAAATACTTTTACTTTGATGGCTGCGTGTATTTATTAACGGAATATTGTCCGTTTGATCTCTACCATCTTCTTAAAGAGAAGGGTTCTTTGTCAGAAGACTTACTTCAGAAATATTGTCTCCAAATTGTTAGCTCTATTAAGGCATGCCATGATCACAATATTGCTCACAATGATATCAAGCCTTCCAATTTCTTACTTGACAAATATGGAAGGATAAAGGCCTGCGATTTTGGAATTTCTACTATTTTCAAATCAGAGCCAACAAGCAGTTCATCAAAAGGAACTTTATTATTTATGGCTCCTGAAATGTTAGCTGAGAAAAAGCACAATCCACTTAAAGCAGATATTTGGGCTTTAGGTGTCACATTATTCTACTTAGCTACAAGAACATATCCTTTCCTTGCTTCAGATTCGAAACTCTTATTGAAAGTTATCAACGATGGTGGAGTTCCACTTAAGGCAGTTTCAAATCCTCTTCTCAGAAACGTCATTGCGAGGTGCTTAGAATACGATCCAAATACTCGTGCTGATGTTAATGAACTCTTAGAAATGCCTTATTTTAATAGTGGATGCAACGAAACCAAAGTCAATCACGTTGGTTCTTCCATATCTCCATTCCATCCAATCATTAAGCCAAAGATTGCTTATGATTCAAAGTTAGGATTGAGTCATCTTTCCTTGATTCCATCGAGGAGACCTCCATCTTTATCCAACATTCATTCAAATAATACTCATTAGTCATTACCATGAAAAATGTTAGTAAATGTTATTAACCATGTTTTATTTAAATTCCATATGTTTTTACTAGTATTGATCCAAACACTTGGTTACTGCCGAACAGTAGTTTGGAGTGTTTCTTATTTATGATCAAAATTAAGGAATTAAATAAAATGTTAATTAGTCGCAGCGGGGTTCACAAGTATTGCGCCTTAGTTACATTATGTCATAAAAACCGAGCAGTATTTAAGTGGATCAATGTTTTGAATAGTCTCAAAGAAATCTACGCCATTAGCGTCACTTTTTGTTCGACTGTTTTTTTCACTCTTCTTATGACTCAACAATTTTGTAAATATTTAAATGGTCGAAACGAGACTTGCTATCTGAGCAAGTGAATGTGGAGTACTTCTCATCCAGAAAACCATAAAATTTTTTAATTGGGCAGTGTAAAAAGAATTTTTTTTATCGTAGGGGATAACAATTCAAAATTTGTCACTTTTGTCTCAAAATCTATTAATTTATTATGGAACTTGATATTGATAAATTGATTAGTTGGGTCAGTGAAGGAAATCCACCAGAGGAGGAAGATGTCACAGCCTTGATAGATTTGGTAACACCAATTTTTGACAGTGAGCCAAATTTATTAAAAATTCAGCCACCTTTAAAGATTTGTGGCGATTCACATGGTCAACTCTATGACTCTCTGAAAATGTTTGAGCTTAGCCCTGCAGCTCCTGACACAAGATATCTTTTTTTGGGAGATTACGTAGATAGAGGTGCCTTTTCAATAGAACTACTTACATTACTACTTGCATACAAACTCAAATACCCTAATGATTTCTTCTTATTGCGTGGAAATCACGAAACTATTGCCGTGAACAGTGAATACGGATTCCAGGCCGAGATAGAGGCAAAATATGGAAAACATACTCTATTTGACAAATGCAACGAGTTATTTAAATCGATGCCCGTCGCAGCACTCGTTGATAATAGATTGTTGTGTCTTCATGGCGGAATTTGTCCACAACTACAGACTATTGAACAGATTGATGAATTTGACCGCCACGTCGAACCAGACTATACTAGCCTTCTCAGTAACATAATCTGGAGTGATCCTTCTGAATCAATTCATAAATGGCAAAGAAGTGATCGTAGAAGTGGATATTTGTTTGGGGAAGAGCAAATTGCAAAGTTTTTAGCGGATAATCACCTACAGGCTTTAGTCAGAAGCCACGAAATGGTTGATGGTTTCAGAATTCAATTTGATGGCAAAGTTATTACAGTATGGAATGCTCCAAACTACTGCTATTACTGCGGAAACAATGGGTCATTCATGCTTGTTGGTAATTCTGCTGAAGAAGACTCTTTTGTCGTTTTCTCGCCAATGCCTGCTGAAAGAAGAAGAAAACCAATGCAATCTGACAACCCTTATTTCTTATGAAGTATTTATCTTTGTTAATATTAATATAAATACGTAATTTCTATCTATTTTATATTTAGCCACTGAAATTATTCAAAACAAACTAATTTGTCATAAATAAAATCACTGTTCTCATCAAAAGAAATATATAACTCATTAGGAAAATCAATTTAAACTATTAAATAATATTAATATTTTTCAATATATCGATTATTAAGTATTGTCCTTATAATTTGTTTAATAATGTATGAATGGAATTCGGATCTCTTTCCGAAATCCATTAATTAAGATCCAATAACAATCGAGTAAAAATATTCCGATTGAAAAAAGATCAATGATAAGAAAAAATGGAGTAATTTTGTCTTACAATGTGTATTTTTAAATATCAAAACTATAAATCAAATAAAAAGAAAATAATAAATCTAAAAAAAAGAAAGAGAAGAAATTAACACATTGCTGTAAAAACAGCCTTATTAGATGGTTGTAAAATTAACTCATTATCTAAGTATAAGAGGCCCTGCTCGATTAAATCATAGAAATCACTGATATGTTTCTCAGTTGTTGGATGGAATTGGTAAGGAGCACTACAGAATGCCTTAACTGTTGTATTATCACGTGATTCTACGTTAACAATGTTCTTAAGTCTTGTTTGTTCGTTAGAAATTGCAACATCAAGGTTGATTCCGAGTTTGCGGGCTTCAAACATAGAAGATAAGCTTCCAGGATGCGTTCCAAACGCTCCTATGATCTTCTTTATCTCTTGTGGTGAGAAAATCTTATAATGAGAAGTATATTCGCGTTCTGCATTTTCTATGTCCTGCATTTCAATGAAACGGAAAGCGTTACCCCAGCGGTGCTGTATTTTGAGAAGGCTGTTCTTTATTTCAAAGAAAACAGGGATTTTGTGATTCAAGTGACTTCTTGCGGAAAGATATGACTCGATTGCATCAGCAAGTTTGATACCAAACTCAGGATCATTCGGTGCTGTAATGTTGTAAATTCTATCGTAGTTTTGGATGATAACAATTGGAGCTAATGCGTGGTAGTTAAGAGATAATAATCTGCCGAACTCGAATACACTTCTCTGAGAGAATTTATGATCAAGAAGGTGGTTAAGTTGGGAATATAAAGAGAAATAAAGATTTTTGAGTTTGTCTGGGAGTGGAGTGGCTTCTGGTAGGTTTAAATTGGCATCATAGTTAAAATCAACAATTTTCTTGAGGTTACTTGAACTGATTATTTGTTTTATGATATTAAATTGTTCAATTGCTGAAATTCTGAATACAGACAACAAATCTTCATATGTATTAACTGACTTGAGGTCGATATTGAGGACTAATCTTCCAAGCTGCGTTTGAGTATCGCTGAAATAATTCAAAGCACGTGATTTACCGCTTTCTTGGCGTCCAGTGATAAGTGCGACGTAAGAAACTGGTAATGTTGTAATGTAATTGTAAAATGTTGCATTCATTTGAGAACTTAACACAAATGGAAGTTTTCCATCAAGTGTTGCCTCGAAAATTTCTGTTTTTCGTGTAAGAATAAGTATAATGGCAACCAAAAGAACAATTGCCCCTGCAAGATAGATTTTAACTTGGTTTGGAATCGATTGAAGAGATTTCATGAAAATTTGTAAAACCGTCTTTTTATTCTTATAAAAATATAAATTGGATATTTTTGGAGTGGATTACATTCTGTGTTAGATAAATAGCAGAAATTCTCCATAAACATAATCAAAATTGCTAGATTATTGAATATTTTTTCAAAAATTTGTATTTTTCATAGTTTCATCGTATGAATGTGCAAGACTAGCTAATTACTATTTGATTTGTACACTCAAATGTTTGGATAGCATACTCATATATACTTTTACATTTGGAAATTGCAATTCAACCATGAAGGATTACAAAAACAATACTACAATGTCATTCATATATAATTTTGTGCATATTTCATTAGCGTAAAGAATTTCTTATTGAAATATTGCAATTTTCAAGAATTTTGGTTATTTCGGAGTTTAATCAGCATCAAATGAAACTTTATAGACTTCTTAGCGAAATATTGAAAAACAGCAATTCCAGCGATCATATTCTGAGGAAGAAAACAGATTGAGTAAACAAATATAAAAGTGCCAATTTTTTCTATTACACCTGGCTATTGATAGCTTCTGTTGTAAACAGAAATTCATCAAAAGTGACACCTCAGAAAAGCTAAAATATTGAATTTTTGGAACTTTTGATAGAGCACGTTTTTAAATATTAATTAAAGTAAATGTATATTTTGTAAAGATTCTTTTTAATAAAAAAAATAAAATTTTGAAGAAGAACACAAAATCTTCTGAAAAATAATATCACATAAACTCATATTATTTTCTAATATATAACTATTTTATATAAAAATCAAAAAAAAAAAAAAAAAAAAAAAAAAAAAGGTATTGGGGCTTCCAGGCACTTCGTGCCCTCTAGCCCCGAAGATGTTTTGTCACTTTTCTGTCACTTTTCAGGAAAAAACATTTTTATTATATATATAAAATGAATTTTACAAAACCACCGTTACCCTTCTTTGGAAATAAGAGTAGATGTAAAGATATTCTATTGAGAGAACTTAAGAAACTACCGAATGGTCTAACATTTGTAGATTTGTTCGGTGGAAGTTTCTATATATCCCATCTGTGCCATACCGTATTCCCAGACTCAAAGATTATATGCAATGACTTCGACAACTATATGAACCGTCTCAAACATATACCAGACACAAACAAAATATTGAGTGAGTTGAAAGAAAAGATACCTATAGGTAAGATGGAACGTATACCATTAGATAAGAAAAATACTGTCAGAGAGGTTTTGAAAAAGGCAGAGTATATTGACTGGGATAGTATATCTGCTAGACTATTATATAGTGGTGCTATAAGAGTTCATGACATTGAAACACTCATGTCAAAAGTTTTATATCTTAACTATACAAATGTTTTCAAAGAGGACATAGAAAAATATATTGAGGGTATAGAGTTTGTGAGATGTCATTGGACAGAGTTGTATGAAAAATATAAAGACAAGGAAAATGTTTTCTTTATAGTGGACCCGCCGTTCTATAACACATGGGATTTTCAATACCAAGTAGACTGGACTTTGAGAGACTCTTTAGAAACTTTAGACGTTTTACATAACCATCCATGCTTTTACTTTACATCCGATAAAAGTGGTTTGGAAAGTGTCATGAGATGGTTAGAGGACATACATGACTATGAGTTTAGATACGATAAGATAGAATATGAGAGAGGTCCTATAAACTGGAGAAAGTGTCATAACAAAGAAATTTTACTAGTAAGTAAATGTGGTTTGAAATAGGACTACTTGTTTTAGGTTTTTTCCATTGTGTCATCTATTTATTTGACGTGGCAGAAAGATATAGAGAATATGAAGATGAACCAATGCCAGCAAATGTTCAGTATATGTACTCGTAAGAGATATTTTTATCTAATATTAAATGGACGCACAGAACTTAGCGAATGCACAGCAACCTGGACAACCAAACCCAGAGAATATTCCAAATGAAGTTAGAATACAAACTGCAATGGCAAACTATGGTCAAGTGCCAACAGATGTACAAATGCAAACTGCCATGTCAAATGACGCTGCGTTAGGCTTACCACCATGGTATGCAAATATGAGATGGAAAGAGTTTTATACAAACCCTGAAGTGGGATATAAACAACTTTATGCAGATGACGCGAACACAGGAGTTGACCCAGAGTATGTTTTCTACCAGAGGAGAAACAGAATGTATGAGCTCCAGTTAAAGAATGCAATGGAACTCAACAGGAAACGTAGGAGACTAGGCGGACATTAGATTTTTACATATAGTAAAATGGGTTTCTTCAGTAGTATTGGAAACTTCTTTCGAAATGTTGGAAGAGGTATATGGAATGGAATAAAAACCGTAGGAAGAGGAATTTGGAACGGTGTCAAAAATATTGGTAAAAGAGTAGGTCAGTTTGTTGGTATTATACCTAAAGACCCTGAACCAGAAGAACAAGCTCCTGTTATACAACAGCCTGAACCTGCACCACAGTCTAGTTGGCAACCAAATCCAACACCTCAACCGTATTAAAAAGTTATATTTTTACCGTTCGATAGTAGTTGTATATGAAACTAAGTTCTAAGTAAAACGCATGGTATAATGGAATTATTCTCTTTCTTCCATCTGTAGTAAACCATACTTGAAAGTCTGAAATACTTCCACTTGGTGGTTCATATAGCTTTGTAGGTTTTTCGTAAAAGTCATTTGCCAAGCATAAAAAAGAGTTTTGCGCACCAGAAAATGAAGCATGAACTATAATAGCATCTTGGTCGAAAACATTTTCATATGTTCCATTAGGGTTTTCGACTTCATAAAAGTTCGGGTGTACTGGATATGCTGCAGGCTGATTTAACATCCTCAAAAATCTATACCATGCCAAGTTGTTATATTTTGTAGAAATATAAACGTTTTCTCCAAGGTCTTCTATTCTATCGATTTTAACAGTTGCATTTTTCCTGTCATATATAATATCGAGATGGTACTCTCCTTCGTCAATGTTGTACTGTTTTGCATATTCGAGATAGATATCGTTTATTTTTTCTTGAAAAGCTTGAAGAGTTGTTTCTAAGTTTACAAGCAAATTCACTTGTAAAAGTTTTCCCTGTTCAAATTTCTCATACGTACGTTTTTCTTTGTTATAGTATCGAACTTCAAAACCGACCGTAAATGGGAAACCATGTATGGCTTCTGAAATGAACTTCATTCTACGAAAGCCAATAGCTTTTGTGACGGATGGGTCTCTTAACCATCTCAATGGGTAGTCAAAACGATAGCCTTCATGCTTTACGGTCTCTGTCTCAAACTTTTGACCGACATTAGTAAAAAGTTCATCTAATGGTTTAGTTGTAGCAACTCTTGAATTTTCTTTTTCTATTGAAAGCATATTTTATCTAGAATAAAAATGTCGAAAGAAACAGCGTCTATGAGAGAAATACAACACAACCGACAACTCATTGTACAAGCTCTAAATAAGAACACAACAAACTTTTCAAACTATTCTAAGATATCTGAGTCATTGAAAGAAGGAAACTTAAAACTGACGATAAACCCAATGACAGATGAGTTTCTGTTTCAAGACAGTAAGAACCATACTGTCTGTGTAAATCCAACAAAAGGAACTTTAAACGAGAAACCTATAGATGAACTTCTTTTGAAAGCAGATATTGACAACAAAGCTGACAAAGAGTATGTAGATGCAACAAGAGACTATATTCTCGCATGGACAGATAGAACATACCCACAAAAACATCATACACATAACATCTATGACGTAGATGAACTACCAGCAATGTTAGATGACAAAGCTGACAAAACATATGTTGACAATAAAATGTCAAGTGAAGTGACAAGAGCTGACAAAGAATATTCTAAAAAGACTCATACACATACCATATCTGATATTACAAACTTACAAGAAACCTTAAACAAGAAAAGTGACGTTGGACATACACACGATTTCTTCGCAACTGTTGGTATAGAAAATATTGAAGGAACGGTTGAAGAAACTGGTGGGGATGCAATATATTGTAAACCTCCTAACTTTCCACAAGGTTTAACATCGGATGACGACATAACGACGATGTTAAACATTAGATGTAAAGATGTTTATGTCATGAAGGATGAACATAATATTAAATTCACTGCTCAAGATTTATATGACAAGAAAGCAGACAAAACAGAGCTTCAAACATTAAAGACAGAAATACTTCAAACATTATATCCTATAGGCTCTATTTATACGTCAATGAACTCTACCAGACCAGAAACAGTACTTGGTTTTGGAACTTGGACTCAAATAGTCGACAGGTTTTTGTATTGTGCAAACTCTTCAAAGGAAACAGGTGGAAGTAAAACGATTTCAGGTGAAAATTTACCTGCACATAGTCACTACATAGATTTAAGTACATCTCAAGCAGGTTGGCATAAGCATAAATTTTGGGATTGGTCAGCAATGAAAAAAGGTAAAGGATATGATGTTAAAGACGACGTTCAGTTTGCTATAAATTGTTTCTGGGGTAACACTCAGGGAGATGGAAACCATACACATCGCGTTTCGGGATATACGCAAACAACGGGACAAAGTAAAGACTACATGCCACCTTACATGACAGTTTACGCATGGTATAGAATTGCTTAGTCGTCATTTTCAACTTCTTTAGCATATTCGTCAGGAGTTGTCTTATATTTGTTAGGAACTGTCTTTGAAAGTATACCACCTTGAACTTTGACAAGTTTGAAACGAGGTCTGACAATAGTAGTTTTATCTTCTGCTTGCAGTCTGTACATTTTGCCATGTTTGCCTAAAACTTCATAATATTCTCTTGTATACTTTCTTCTATTTTTACGAACACGAACGTGAGTACCTGTCGAGTTCCCATTGTTGTCATAGTCAATAGTATTTTCATATGGGTCGCGTTTAGGTATTTCTATTTTTACTTTGTCACCTTTCTGAAGTTTGAAGCCTGGCATTCTTTCTTGTTTGTCTCTTTTGACTAAACTATTAAATATATAGTCTTTCTCTAAGTCAGGGTTGTTTTTCATTTCTTCAGGGGAGTGGTTTCCCAAACCTTTTTGTTTACGGCTATTGTAAATATTTAAAACTTGTCTCATCTTTGCCATGGAGAAATGTCTATACTTGTCGTCATATGACATTTCATCTACCTCGCCGCCTTGTGGTTGGTTTAAGTCTCTTAAGATTTTTATACAACTGTCAATGACACCAAGAGCAGAATGGTTTTGGTCGACAATGAAATATTGGTTTACATTTTTTGAACGCAGATAGTTTTTAATATCGTCTGATTTGAAAGAACTTTCACAGTCAGATGTCAGTTTTGTTGGATGGTATTTGTCAACGAATATTGTCAAAGCAGTTTTCACATCTAAAATATTTTTGGACTGTAATGGTATGGCTTCACAGTATCTTGTGTTTTGACCGACAAATATTAGCCAGTATGGTGGTCCATCTTCTCTATACCTCGGAATGTTTTCCAAGATATCCATAAACCAAGCATTTGGTGTTGAACTAAAGATTTTTATCATGAGTGCTTTCTTTGTTGCCTTAGAAACATAGGGGTCCTTGTTTGGATTCGTCATTTTTTAACCCATAAGAAATGGGTTTATTTGGCGCATTAGCAGGAGTTGCATCCAGATTTTTGCCCGCAGTGGGAACAATAGCCAGAGGTGTATTTGGAGTTGGAAGGAAGATTTTGAGTACATTAGGTATACTTAAAGAGAAAGCACAACCTATTATACAAACCGTACAGAAAGGTTGGGATGTAGCACGTGACGCAGCAAATCTTATTCCAAATCCTGAAACAAGAGGAAAAGTTCAAGGATGGATGGACAATGTAGGAAGACAAGCAGGAAACTACTATAACAAAGCAAATGACTACTATAACCAAGCAGGGCACTATATGGACCAAGGTGAAAGATTCTTTAACAGAGGATATAACCATGCACAACAATGGGTAAACAACAACCAACCGCAACCGCCTCAAACGTGGGGAATGTAAAATTTTTTACTGAGATGAAATGAACAATACAGCATTGAGACAAATGGGTTCAAGATGGATTTGTCGACTTCCAGCAGTTACACAACCACGTGTTTGTCAAGTCCTTCCTATACCTCAAGAAGTTTTAGACCGACTTAAAAAACCTAAACAACCAGTTTGAAAACAAACCAAACTAAAATTTTTTACTGAGATGAAAATGACCGAAGAAGTTGAAACGGTAGATTTGACACCACAAACAAAAAGTTCAGAACCATTGTCAAAACCTGTCAAAGAACTTACAGATGAAGAGAAAAATTCAATAATAGAAAGTGCCAGGTCTGGTAACTCAAACCCTAACTACAAAGTCACTTTTCATAGAAATGGAACGGCTAGTATCTCAAAAAAGAAACAGACTCTCACAAATAAAATATTGAAGTCTGAAGGAGCTTTCGAGACAACAGATGGAAAAGTTTACTTCACTGACCAACAGTTCATTATAGAACATCTCATTGACTTAGAGTCGAAATATTCTAAACTTTACAACAAACACAAAAAGTTGAAAGGAAAACAAAAACAGATGGCATATGATATTTATGAAGATGTTGACGACACAACTAGACCAGCAAGTGAGGTAAAGTCAGATGAACCGAAAAGTGACGAAAAACCGATAGAAGAAGAAAAACCAAAAACTGAAGATAAACCAAAACCAAAGGTTAGTCTGGAGATTAAGCCTTCATTAGCTGGTATGGGTTGGCGTCAAAGACTTTTGGCAGCTGGTGGTTATGTAAAGTAAAGAAAAAAACATTTTTTTATTTTATAGAAATGCCCCATATAGAATGGACAGAAGGTCTGCTAGAATAAAAGCAGAGTTAGAAAGATATGGTTGGAGAGTTTCAAAGAAGTTTAAATATAGGAAGGGAAGACCCATAAAAGTCTATGACAAACTTGCTGGTCTGACCTACGAAATGGACTTAGAAACAGCACGCGCAAACTATCCAAACAGATTAGAGAGGTTAGAAGAAGAGCGACTTATGGACATACCTTTCGATGTTAGTGAACCTCAAGTTGAAGGACACGACGGCTTTGCCAGATTCTACTGGAAACATGACGAACAATTGCATCCTTTGAGAAGGAAAAAAGGAAAAGGTGAAGACGCACATGCTCCCATGGAAAGAACAAGATATGCATATGAGAAGTACCGTGAAGTTAGAAGTCAAATTACATCTGGTCGAACCTTTACAGTAAACTTTGACGAAGGAAAGAACAAAGAAGGCTTCATGGTGTACTTGCTGCCATACAAGACGGAAATAAGAAAGGACACAATCTCAGATTGACCATAACGGATTTGGATGGTCACATTTACTATGCAAATGGCAATGAACAAACAGCTGCAAAACTTCTTGACGCTTTCAAGACTACAAAGAGAGAACAAATGGTTGACTCCGACTCAGACATTTTGAATGCAATTGAAGGAATTGCAAGTGTCAAGTTCGAATGGTACCAACCTAACCCTCAAGCAGTCAGACAACATGCTGGATACTTCCCCTTCATAAATAAGTCTGACATTGACTTGACAAGGTATGGAATTTACAATTCAATTGAAACAATTGTCAATGAACCTTGTATTCTTACATGTCTCAGGAACTCTGGTCTTGTTACAGAAGAGAAGATGAAGTATCTTGAGTCATGTGTGAAGACAAGGTACATTCTCAGAGGTCAATTGTCAAAAATTGCACCGTTGGCAAATGTGAATATCCGAGTTAACATTCCGACTGAGAAAGGTTCTTCACATGACGACTATGTTGTTGACAAAGACTTACCATGGTTGAAGATTGTAATCGTCCACAACCACTTCATGTTGAACGAAAGTTTTACAAACCCATTGTTCGGAAAAGGCAAGTGCAACATTGTCAGAGCTGTTAACATTCTTTTCGAGAAAGGTTTGTTGGAACCAATTCCAAATGACAAGCTGACAGAAACTTTTGTACCAAAAGACGAAACAAACTTTTCACTGTTAGCAAGACCAAAAGTTGTTCCAGACAAAGTTCTAGCACAAAAGAAGTACACAGCTCCAAAAGGAGTTGGATTGTTCGGATACCAACCTGAACCAGAAGAACTTCCAATGAGGTTGCAAGAACTTCAAGATGCTATAAACAAACTTCCATTGAGACATCCAATTGACGTCAAATTGTATTGGAGAGCATCTGAGTTAGGTCAGAAGGTTTTATATGAAACAGGTTGCTTCGACGATGTTTATGAGATAACAGGAGAAGTTTCTCAGAAGATAAGAGACTCACTTGAATTTCCACAAACCGGACCCATAGGTTGCGACAAGTTCGACTCAAACGAAAAAATATACTATGTCGACCTTAACGCTGCGTACATGAGGTTTGTCCAATATATTCCGACTGGAATTCCAAACGAAGATGGTGAGTTCCCGGGAAGGAACTATACAGTTGGAAAAGTCATACAACAACTGTATGATATTAGGAAAGCTTCAAACCCCAAACTTGCAATGACACTCAAATTGCTTATGAATTCGACATGGGGATATTCCATTAAGAAACCTCAAGCGATGAAGAGTAAACATTATGAGAAGGTCGACAACTTTGTTGAAAGGTTTTTCTCCTTTTTTTGGGAAGTACGAATTCACTCAAGGTCAAAGTGGCTTAGTAACCACATTAAAAACCTATTGTCGAACATTGGTCTTACCCTCAGTTCGCAAAGGCAGTCCTTGACAACTACAATGAGTTCTTCTCGGAAGTCAAATCGAAAGTTGTGGTTTACTATGAGAACATTGACGCACTCATGACGAACGAAGAAGGCTATAACAAACTCATTGAAATGGGAATGGTCGGTGAAAAGATGGGTCAATTCAAATTGGACAAAATTTTCACCGAAGTTCATGTCCTCTCCAAGCGTAAGTATTGGGGCATACTTGAAGACGGCACAGAAATAAAACATTGCATGAAATAAACAATTTATTTTTGACACTTTCACAAAAAACATAAAAAAGTGAAGTTAAACGTTAAGGTTTACTGAACTGGTTGGATGTCGCCTTCACAGGTTATGTAGAACGGCTGACCCGAGAAGTGAAGGAGACCCTTGAGAATTTGGCTCATTCTTGGGAAAGGGTTCTCTCTGTTTGGAAGTAGTATCCAAGGACGCTTGGCAAAGAACTTGAGAAGAGCTTCTTTCTTTGCTTGCTTTATGTCGTCGTAGGCTGTCCCGTCTGGTATTTGAATTGGAATTCCAGTCGAAGTCTCGAGATTCAAGGCAGCCCTTCCCGTTATCCAACAGTTAACAAGCTTGCCTTTTACATTCTGCCTGAGGAAGTCTTTAACAAGCTCGTTAATTTCAATTAGGTAAATTGCCTCGTCGGTAGGTTCGACCTCGACCATTGCTACTGTCAGAAAAAGTACTGCTACTGTCAGTAAAAGTACTGCTACTGTCAGAAAAAGTACTGCTACTGTCAGTAAAAGTACTGCTACTGTCAGTAGCAGTACTGCTAGGAGCAGTAAAAGTACTGCTACGAGCAGTAAAAAGGAAAATTTGAGAGGGTTTTCGACGATAAAGTACTGCTACTGTCAGAAAAAGTACTGCTACTGTCAGTAAAAGTACTGCTACTGTCAGAAAAAGTACTGCTACTGTCAGAAAAAGTACTGCTACTGTCAGAAAAAGTACTGCTACTGTCAGTAGCAGTACTGCTAGGAGCAGAGATTTTTATCGTTGTGGTCCGACGGTTAAGCCACCAACGAATGTCCCACGTCCCACCAACCGAGTCCAATCTCAATCCAGAAGAACCGAAAGCACCAGCCCCTGCACCTCAGTTCCAGCAATTCCAATCTCAATCCAAATTACTACCAATTCCAATACAAATCGAAGAAGGTCTGAACCGCTTACGCAAAGAGTATGCTACAGCTCCAACCCTTGGTTGTTCCAACAATTCCAATTCCAATACAAATCGAAGAGAGACCAAGAGTTCGAAGAAGGTCTGAACCGCTTACGCAAAGAGTATGCCACAGCTCCAATTGAGAGAAAGTTGTTGCTAAATTCAGTAAAAATATATTTTAGGTGAAGAGGTGACATCTCACCTGTTTTCTCACCTCTTTTCTCACCTCTTGAATTTTCATGAATTTCATCGTAAATGTTTTGTCGAAACTTCTTCATCGTAAATGTTTTGTCGAAACTTCTTCATCGTAAATGTTTTGTCAAGACTTCTTCGTAAATGTTTTGTCGAAACTTCTTCATCGTAAATGTTTTGTCAAAACTTCTTCATCGTAATGAGCGTAAATGACCCAAAAATAATGTTTAGGTGAAGAGGTGACATCTCACCCGTTTTCTCACCTCTTTTCTCACCTCATGAATTTTCATGAATTTCATCGTACATGTTTTGTCATGACTTCATCGTATATGTTTTGTCACCCGTTGAATTTTGTATAAAAAGCAACCCGCGGAATTCCGCGGGTTGGTATATTCTTCACAAAATGCTTGTTTTGAAGTCGAGCCACTTTTGGCTCCACCGTATTTTTCAACCAAAACTCATGAATTTTCCCGAAATAAAAAATAAAGTTAGTTTTTTAAAAAAAATATTTTTTATTTTTATTGTAAGAACATGTTAGCAACAACAGCACCAAACTCGTTAGTCATGAACCCAACTTCAATGTTAGTAGAGATGAAAAGCTTCATTCCTTCTTCATATACTTTCGAAACAGAAATCCAGAAGATAAAGCAGGAACTTCTCCAAGGAGATTTAGGCTGTAGTGCGAAAGATGAAACAAATGAAGAATATCTTTATGAAATGCAGGATATTATTGACCATCTACCTAAACTTCCTGAAATACAACAACAAAAGCTTACTATTCCAGAATTCGATGAAATAGAAGTCAAAGCAACTGACTCAGTAGAAATAAAGAAGTTCATACGTAAGGTAAATTATGAATTCCTTGGATTTCATTGCAACCACAAAGTCATGGACAAAGACTGCGACATGTTATATAAGAACATCTCTGACATATATAAATCTGGGGAGTTTAAGACCTACGACAACTTTGTTTCGTTAGTTGCTGAATGTGTATGGCAGATAAGAGATAAAGATAGAAGAGGTAAAGTATGGAACGAACAAATAAAACCCGCAACTTTTGAGTTAAAGAAAACCATTGACGCCTTAGTCATACTTGCAGGTCAAATTTCAATGTACAATGCTAAAATGAACCCGCAATGTTCTAAATGTAAAGCAGCAATGAGGAAATATAACTACTCCGTCAAAGAGATAGAAAGAATGAGAAACGACTATGCTGACTTAAAGAAAGAAGCAGAGAAACCAGCAGAAAATAAAATGGACATGTTAGAATTTCTGAACAAAAACTATCCAACTGCTGACGATTTCCTTCTTTCAGATGTCAAGAAGAAATATAAAGAAACCTTCGGCATTGTTAAAACATTCGATGTACTGACAGAGGAAATCGAAGCCACAAAATTGTTTAGAATTTCAAATATACATCGTACAATTCATGTAAAACGCTTATAAAAAAAAGAGGTGAGAAAAGAGGTGAGAAAATGGGTGAAATCTCACCTCTTCACCTCAATTATATTTTTGCTGAATTCAGCAACAAATTTCTGAGTAAAATGGCATATAGCTTGTGTCAAACCGTTGAGTTTTCACAAAATTTAAAAAATAGCGTTTACCATGTAAAACGCTTATAAAATAACTGAGGTGAGAAAAGAGGTGAGAAAATGGGTGAAATCTCACCTCTTCACCTAAAATATATTTTTATTGAATTCAGCAACAAATTTCATGAATTTCCTCATATGTTTGCTACCCTCGGAAAACCGAGGATAGAGATTCCATTCGAAAATCGTAAAAAATTGCGACCCGCGGAAAACCGAGGAACGCCTAAAACACATGAAAATCGTAAAAAAATGACCAAATTTCATGATATAACTGTATCTTTTATACAAAATAAAATTAAAGTTAGTTTTTTTAAAATATTTTTTTTTATTTTGTATGTAAGAACAGGAAATGACAAACACTGAGTTTGAAACAGTTAAAAAGATAGACAATAACACCAAAGTGGTTAGAATAGGGGATTTAAACGTAAGATACTCAAAGAAATACAACAAATATTCTTTGTCAGACATTTTAACACTATCTGAAAAGAAAACATCCCACGACTGGGTTAGAAATGCTTCTACTCAGAAAATTTTGACAAGAAATCCTGAGCTTATGATATCGGTAAGATTCTATGGAACAAGAACATATCTCATCGACAAAAGTCTTATACCAATAGTTTTGTTCTGGATTGACCCAGTTGTTGGATATAATTTCATAACATATGGTTCATTCGATACTGAACGTTGCAGTGAAGGCTTACTTTATATCGTTCAGAAACCGAAGGACTTCAATACAAAGAGATATAAGATAGGAAGAACATTTAATATAACTCAAAGATATGACTCTACAGTCAATAGAGTTAAGGTTGCGTTTGTTAACGATATGAGAGCTGCTGAAACAGAACTACTTGAAAAGTTTGAGAAAATGTATGGTGCTCCCATAAAAGGTAAAGAAACGTTTGAAGTAGATGAGATAGATAAAGCTATAAAATTATTTGACGAAGTTGCTGAAAAATACATGTAAAGCGTTTATTTTTGGTCTTTTATACAAGATAGAAAATAACGCTAATTTTATTTTTTTTTATTTTTTTATTTTGTATGTAAGAACAGAAATGTCAACAACAGAGAACACAACAACTGCTATCGTTCATGAAGCTATAAATGAAGAATATGAGTACATACAGTATAACAAACAGTTACGTCTCATTCGTTCGGTCAAAGATGACATGTACCAAATGCAAAGTATTTTGACAGCATGTTTTGCTCCAGATACTAAGCTTCCTAAAGACTGGTTTAGGAACCAAAGCACTATTGAACTATTAAATGAAGCACAGCGAGACATACTTTTTTCTGAAAATCGTGAAGAACAGCGAGTGGGAGAAAAACCCCAGTCGCCAAAACTCTATGAAAATCGTGAAAAATTGCCAAACGGTTTGAGAGGATATTATGTACATAGACTTCTTGTAAATAATGTGGCACAATGGGCTTCAGCTCGCTATTCATGGTATGTTTGTAAACTTCTTGACGAAATTCATAGACAAGAACGTGAAGAGCTAGAGAACAAGCTTGAAGCAAAAGACAAAAACATACAGAAAAGAATACCACGTTCGGTACCAAAAGGAAAGGAAAAGAACTATAAGTATATGATTTACACTGAAGAGATGGAAAATGAAGAAGACAGAGATATGGTTATGTTGCATTTAGTCAGAAGAAACAACAAAAGCTTTTACGACCTTGCTAAGATTTACAAATCTGACAGAAATTGGTTCTATCGCGAAAACTTACCGATTTCAATGACACCAAATGAAGATGTTAAACAGATAGTTCAAGATACGTTACCTCAAACACACTATGATATGAAAGGTTGTACAATACTTACCTTCAAAGAAGATTTGCCGCTACTGAAGGAAAAAATAACAGAGTATTTTGACAACTTCAAACAAGCAGAGTAGATGAACCATTTATTTTTCAAGCTTGACTTCAGATGGCTCAGGTAGCTCTAGATGGTAAATTGTCTTGTCAAATCCTTCTGGCATTCCGAGTCCTTCCATCCGACATTCCGAGTCCTTCCATCCGACATTCCGAGTCCTTCCATCCGACATTCCGAGTCCTTCCATCCGACTGGAAAAAAATTTCCCGACAACTGGAAAAAAATTTCCTGACAACTGGAAAAAATTTTCCTGACAACTGGAAAAAATTTTCCTGTTGTTCGTCCGTAAACCATTCAAATTTTCGAAAATTGAGAACTTTTTGGTCGAACGACAGAAAAAATTTTTCCTTCCAACAGGAAAAAATTTTCCCGACAACTGGAAAAAAATTTCCTTCCGACAGGACACAAACGAATGTCCGACGTTCCTCTTCCTGAATGTCTTCCAAAGCCAGAAGAACCGACAGCCCCAGCACCACAACAGACTAAGACTAAACACTTACATTTTTCAAGCTTGACTTTTTACAATTTGAACTTTGTTTGCGTAGATATGAATTCTGAAAGAAGTATGAGGGTCTTGTATGACTTTATACTTCTCCCATAGTTCATGTCTGTCAAACTTACCTGCCATGGACTCTTTCATAAGTTCCATGAAATCGTCTTCGGACAATCCAGGGAAAAGTATGATATCAGTAAGTATTCTCTTTACATCCTTACTTAAACTCTTGGCTGTCTGTACACAAATGACAACTGAGATGTTAAAGTGTCTGAGCTTCTTAAGAATTCGACACATATCTTGTTCTCTATTCTTAAGCAAAGGATGAGAAGCAAAGTCATCTAAGATAAGAAGACATCTATGAGGGTAAGTCTTCCAATCGTAAGATTGCAATTTCTTCGAAATGTATTCTATCTCTTTCTGTTTGTTTCTGAAGTGTTTCTTCTCTAATATTCTCTGCATTTCCTCATTTGGGTCTTTAAACTTCGAATTTATATACTCATTTATAGCATTGTACTTCAAAACTCTTCTTTGGTACTTCTTTATCCAATCTAACAACTCAGTATCCTTTATACATACTAACTTAGACTTCTTTATAATATCTTTGAACGAACGAATTGACGGTTTGGTCAAATTGACCAGAAGTACTACAAATGACTACTAACTCATAGAATGGGTTCTTCTCATCTAGTTCTTGTTGTTGTGCAGCCATTTTAAGATAAGTGAAAGTCTTACCAGACCCAGGTGGTGCAATTAGACCTGTTATACCATTCTGAGCAAATAAGAACTTGTCATGTATAGGCTTTATCTGAGCATTTTCCAACTTCCTCTTGTTCTTGTTTAAAACATTCTCAAATTTCTTGTCAATGTCAGCAAACTTTTTTTCTAACATATTTTTAGAAAAATTAAAATTTTTATCTTTTTGAAAATGTCTAGCGATTTCGCTATCTATATTCGAGACAAACTTTTCGACAGCAAAACATCTGTCGACCATAAAATCTTACATAGTGTAAACAAGAAAGGTGAATTTGTTCTAAAGTTCTGTTTCTGGGAATATGACAAGAACCATAAAACATTAAGCAGAGCAGTCTTAAAATTTGTCAATGACAGACTTGTTGACAGAGATGACGCCGATTGGAAAGATGAAGTCCAACAAAAGTTCTTAGAATGCAAAGAAGACACATGCGCTGTTCTTGAAGATGAAATAGAAAACAGAATAGAAGAGCTATTAAAGGACAAAGACCTTTTACAAAAATATGGTTCTGAGAAGTTTGACATAACTCCACCAGAGAAGAAGAAGAAGAGAGAAAAGAAAGAAAAGAAAGTAGAAGAAGAGAAGAAAGAACCTGAACCAGAGAAAAAGAAATTTGACATGTAAAAATAAAATTTTATTTTTAGAACATTTCTGGGTCAATGTCAATGTTCTCTTCCTCTTTAGGAGCAAACACTGGCTTAGACTCTAAAATCTTTTTACCCAACTTACCTTGAACTTCAACTATCTTAGACTCATAATATTCATAGTCGTCTGTCTTCTTTGGTTCATAAGGTATAACAAGTTTGTATGCTTTGCCTTCTTTAAGGTTTGAGAACCTTCTGTCAAAATTTTCTTTGACTGCTAACAAACCTTCTATGTCTAAGTCTTCAAATTTCGCACCATTTTTAGTCACAATAGCAAACTTAACTGGTTCGATGTTCCAAACTTTGCTGAATGAAGACTTTTCAAAATGGTAGAAGTAAACATTCAAATAAGCGAATGGGTCTAGTTCTTCTTTAAGTCCTGACATATATTTGTTTACTGAGATGAATTTTGCCATCTTTTCTATCGGATAAAAAAATGTTTTTTTTAAATTTACTCAGAAAAATTTTTCTTTGTATATACGCCATTCTGAACATCTAAAAGATTTTTGACATTTGCCAAGAATGTTCGTTTAGAAGCTGCCATATAACCATACTCTTGACAATACTGTTTATATGAATCGTACAATGACCTTTCATCTAAACACTCAAAGTCAGTTTCATCTATGAACAGTTCATATACACTCTTGTTTGCTTCTAACAACGTTTGTCTCTCTTCGGTATGTGGAATTTGTCTTGGATTGAAGTTAGAAATATCTAATGTCATGAAATATGAGAACAAGTGGTTGTAAAAGTTAGGTGTCAAAGTTTCTGCTAAGTCGTCAAAATATTCTGTATCTTGCATATGAGAATCTGACGTTCTGACAACTACATATCTTCTGTCAGAACTTTCTAACTTCATCGGAACGGCATTGTTTGAAACCATGACGAAGTTTGCAACATTTTCACAAACTCTTTGGTCTCTATACTTTCTTTCAACAACTCCAACTTTGTCTGTTATAAGACTCTTCAAAGCATCCGAGTTCAAAACTTTTGTTGTATCTATACTTTGAAGTTCGTTACATACTATAAGTTTCATATTCTCTATTGAAGAGTTAAATTTACCGCAGATGTTTTCTAAGTTTGTCATATTCGGGTTCGAATAGCCCTCTAACAGTTTGCATAAGATATCTGTAAAGAATGTGTTCTTACCTGTTCCTTGTTTTCCAATTATGATGAGAGCAGTTTCATTTTTAGCACTTGGATGTTGTAAGATGTTTGCAAACCAACATAAGACATACTCATAGACTCTTTCGTTTCCATTGCATATAATTTCTTTGACATGGTCTAACCAAGCTTCTATAACATTTTCTTTCCATTCTACTTGTTCGTATTTATATCCAGTGAAGATAGAATAGAAGTTTGGAGAAGGTGTATAAAACTTTATACCACGAACTGAAAAATCTTCAAGTTTTGACAATAAGATATCCCAAGCATCTAACATCTTCATGCCAACTTGTACGACTTTTATTTTTCTTAAGTTTCTGTCTACATTCTTGTTCTGAAACTATTGTTGCTCTTGGTTTGTTAAAGACAACATCCCATTCTTTCATGACATAACATTCTGGGGCAGAGTCGACATAAATGACTAAACGTTTCAAATTCTCGACTGCTTTGTTATAGTCTCTAAATGGACACATATTTCTGAACGCTTGGAAGTCATAAAAATCTGAAACGTCTATTCTGTACATTTTTATAAAAATAAAAAAAATATTTTTTTTATTCTTGAGCTATTTGTTGTTCTTGAGCTATTTGTTGCATTTGTTGTTCTTGAGCTATTTGTTGTTGAAGTTGTTCTTGTAGTACAATACTTTCACCAGTTGCATCTTCCAATTCGAAACTTTCTGCCGTCATTGACAAATACATAGGACATAAAAGTTTTACAGGAACAAAGTTTGCGTCAACTAAGGTTAAGTTTATGTTTGCTAAAGTGTTTGAGTTTACTAAAGCTGAAAACTCTGCATTCGAATGAACAATAGGCAAACCAGCAGAGAAAGTGTTGTTTATACGCATGAGTATCTTTTGGTCATAGTAGTTTCTGTCGACATTCGAATAGCACTTTGAACCTAAGTTTGAAACAATATATAAGATTGGTGTACTTAAAGTCAATGGAACAGACAAACCTTGTATGACACCTTTTCCTGTTATAGGAAACTGTTGGTAGTAAAAACCAGATATAAGTTTTGTATTATAGCTCATATCGTTTATAGTAAACTCAGTCGGACATCCAAACATAATGAAACCTGCTCTAGTTGCAGCACATGTTACATCCGTCCTTAAAGTATTAAATAAGTCAACAAAACCTGTTGGTGGTATATCTGAGTAAGTATCTTCAAAGAAGTATTTTTTACCATTCACAACAACAAAGTCTTCTGGTGTCAAAAGAGCAAAACAGGCTTTAGTCGTCATCGTGTTTAAGGTCAGTTTACAATATCGTCCTTGAGGACTTTGTAAGTTTGTTGTTATAGAATTATATGACTCAGGGTTTTTAGTCGTAATAGTATAAACCACTATGTCTTCTGCCATTTACTTAGCAAGTAAATTTTAATGAAATGTTGTGGTCGTCAAATATTTTTATGACGTCTGGGAAACTATACTTTAAGTTCAACGTTTCACCTCCTTTCATAACGTATATCTTGTCAATGACATTATATGAAACACCACAGCAAGCAATGTCAGGTTCTATTTCTTTGATGTTTATATCGTCTGCCTCTGTCAAAAGTTTTCAATAGTTCTTTCAAAACTTCATGAGGTGCAATGACATATGAGTTCACTTTTACAGGGTTGTGCTCAACCAAGTTTAACATTAAACCTAAAGCTTGACAAATCTTCTCCTGAGTTTTAAGTTTGTCTTTAAGTTGTTGGTAGTCGTTTCGAATATCTGCAACAGAACTTAAGTCTCTGTTAACTTCAGGGTATGTTGGTTCTTTTACAGGAACTATTGTTATACCATCTTCGTCTTCGTATGGTTTCCCCACTTCAACATCTCTGTCTTTGACATTGACAACAACACTTTGACTGTTTGTTTGAGTTGGTGAATTTAACTTCACATCTGCCACCGCCATTAAACCTTTTGAAACACTTACGCTTCTATTTTTCGGAAATGACATTTTACTTAGAATAAAAAGATGGACGTATTTGAGTATCTCTTCGAATTGAAGCAAAACAAAGTTTACACACACAAACAATACAAATACACTGATAGAATAGTCCTTTACACAAACAATGGAAAATGTTATAGAATAGCAGTCTTTGCTGAACCAAAATATTTTCATAAAGCAAAGAAAGTTGGTATAACTGAAATGGTGAAAGTTCTTGAAGCAGACAAAATATAACAACAAAACTGACGATATTTCTAAAGGTAAGTTTATAATACAATATTATATCAAAATGGCGTACTGTCAATATTTGACGGAGAGAAGTCAGTTCAAGAACAACTTACTGACCTGCTGCCAAAATCTGCTCGATGGAAGCTGTCGTTATAACCAATCTGAGGAGCCCCAGCAGGTTTCATCGAACGAATCTTCAAAAAGATCTTCCGTGAAAAGTGCTATTGGTTTTGTAAACTTCTTTGCTTTCAATTCATCTGGACCGTCTCTGTCACCAGTATATTGTATTTGAACTGTACCAACAGTTGAAATACCACCCATAAAGTCTTCTGAGTCAGCAAATGGAATGCCAAGCCAAAAGTTTGAACGGTCTCCATTTGTATATTGAGTTTTTTGACCTCCTGCATGAGTCCATACTTTCACATATGCATAATAGAACTTTGCATTTCAGGGTTAATGGTTGTTGTGAAGTTGTTGTTAAAGTTCATAGCATCTAATGTCAAGTTGTATGACCTCATATCCTCAACTGTAGAATATTCTTCTCTTGGATAGTATTTGCCATCTATGTTTATATGATATTTAATACCAGGGTTGTAGAAGCAAGAATAGTCATTTATAGTTCGTCTGAACAGTACAAACATAGTATCTGCATGTTTCATTGCAGTTGTTAAAGCAATATCTGTTCTTGCACCTGGGTCAGCACTTTGGTTTCCAACTTCACCTGCAAAGTCTTTGACAGATATTTGGTGTATAGGGAACATAAGTGGAACTGCAATATATTTGGCAGCTAAAGCATTTGAAATATCTGGGTCCAACATATAGACTGCAAGTCTGCTTTCTATTCTCTTGCATTCAAACTTTTCGCATGTGAACTTAACTGGGTCCCAAGCAGTTCCAGCAGCATTGAAGTAGTAGTTTACTTCAGTGTTGAGGTTTGAGAAACCAAAGTCTAAGTCAACTTTGTCTTTGCAAAAGTCACAGAACTTGGCTCCACCAGTTCCAGCTACAGTAAGAGTGAATGGGTCTTGTGTTGGTGCAATGACTAAGTTATTTTTGCTTGGAGTAAGTTCGATAGAAATTTTTCCTGCCCAGTTTGGCAAGTATCTTAAAAACCTGAAGATGAGGAAAGATGACAAAGGAACTCTAAGTTTCAATTTTACTTTGGTTACTGCTGCTGCAGTTTGTCCAGAAAGGTCAACATAAACTCCTGGAACGTTAGGGTCAAGTCTTCTTATTTTCTCAATAGTTGCATACTGGTCTGTTTGTTCTCTAGCTTGTGGTTGTACTGAGTTTCTCAAAGCGAACCATTCATAGTTTGCCCATGTTACTGTTTGAACTAAGTCAGAGTTAGAATATATCTTATATCCCATGAAAACTTCTGGAGCATATTGGTATCCGACATAGAAAATTCCATTGCAACCTTTCTTGTCAGACAACTTGGCAGAAGGTTTTATTTCAATGTCTTGTTCCACGTATAAGAAAGAGTTGTCAATAGAAATTATATGAAACCTGTCGCAAGCAATATCTACTGTTGTTGAAGAACCTTCTCCAAACTCACCTACGTTTCCATAAGAAACAGCAGTTGTATATTCGTAAGTTCCAGGAACTATTTCTGACCTTCTAATGGCATTGTCGCATTCGTTATACCATTCGGAAACATTTCCATTCATAGCATCCAAAACTGTTGGCGTTATATTCTGAGCGGCGTACATTTCATATGAGTAAAAATATAGAATAGTTGGATTTATATGTCATAATAGAAACCCACGTGGACCAAGCTTTACTTTCTTCCTGACTGAGTTTTTAACTCTTCTTTTTCCTTCATTGCCCTCTGCTTGAAGTTGTTGCATCTTTGCATTATGTTCATCTAGTATGTTGCAAATTTTCCATGCCCTTTTTGCCTTTGGGCTCTGGTCGCCCATCTCAGGTAACCTATATCCTAGAAAGAGTTTGTCATAGTTTGTATTTGAGTCGTCGCTTATTGTTTGCATGACTCTGTCCTGAGTTTCCGGTTCAAGCTCTTCAAACAGTGCCTGTCCATATGGAATATGCTCGTTTCCAAATATATGTTTTTGTAGCCATTCTGGTTTTCTTTCCATGTTACCAACTATATCTTTTGTGAATGGGAAAGCTTTTACCCAATCTTTCAGTCTTGCGTCGTTTATTTCTGTAGTTGGTTTTATTTTGTCAAGGAACATGTTTTTCAATACTAACATTTCATTTGGTACTGTCCATTTGAGTTTTCTTAAATATTCATCCCTTCTCAGTTCATCGTCTGCAAAGTAAGTTTTTATGACATTTTGTAAACTTTCGTTTGCAAGGTCATGTACAATAGGTTCTCTTCCTTCGCTCTCCCTAACTTTCTTTCTAAACTCTTCACCAAATATACCATCTCTATGGTTCTGTGTAGTTCTTTGAGATAAATGTTCTAGAACGTCAGGTGTTATATTTCCATCAGCCATGTTCATTTCATACTGGTCCAAAATATCTGCATGTTTCATATCTTTCAATGGCATTAAAGCCGCGCTTAAAATACCAGCTATATCTCGTTCACCATTCAATTCCATTGCGTCTACAACTTCTTGGAATTGTGGTTGTAAGTTTATGAACCACCTATCCGGATTAGCTTTATGACCCCATCTCATTGTAGTTCCATCGTCTGCAGAAACAAAAGTAGGTTTGTTTCCATCTTGGCTAGGTTCTGAATGAACTTTAAACAATGTTTCATTTCTATATGTTTTCTTGAAATTTAACCTTTTATCTTCACCGAGTTCATCCGAAGATTGAACGTTAAATGCTCGTAAGTAAAAAGGGTTGTTGTATTTGTGTACATTTTCTTTCAGTACTTTCATTCTATGCTGAATATTTTCATCTGGTGTTGGAGTCTTTTGTATGTCGGCAAACATTTTTCGATATTCTTCTACTATGTCAGCCGAATCTTTCTTAGACTCTTGGAAAGATTCCATATTCACCTCATGCTCTTGTTGAGGGTCAAGATTTTTCGGCTGTTCCAAATCTTCATCTAGTTCTGTGAAGTTAGTTTCCAAAGGAGGGACTTGTTCGTTTCCTTCAGGCTCTTCTAGCTGTTGTTGCTGAACTATTTCTTCCATGTCTGGTTGTATCTGAACTTCTTCCTGTGGAGTTTCTTGTACCTCATCTGCTGGCATTTCATATATTCCGAGACCGTTTTCAACAATTTCCCTATCTACGTCATCCGCATTCATAAGCTTTTGTTCTTTCGTTCCGTCTCTATTTTTTACGCGTTTCATGACGAAAGTTGAATTGTCATTTAGCTCTGACATCAAATATCTCGGAGTAAATTCATCCATGTCATTTGGATGATATGCTATTAAATCATATCCCTTAGCGAGCTTGTATTTTCCAGGTTTGAGATTATATCCGTTTTGGTGCTGAGCCATAAAGCTAAATAGGTTCGGGTCAGTATTTCCATCCTTGAACTTTCTAATAGCTTCTTTATATCTGTCACTAAAGTCAACAGTATCTGGGAAACCACACTCTTCTTTAAGCATTTTTAAGAATTCTTGGTTTCCTTGTTCTCTACTTCTTTTATGTCCTTGTTCTGTTTGTGGTTGTTGTGCTGGTTGTGGAGGTGGTTGTTGTGCTGGTTGTTGTGCATGCCTGTGTCTGTGTCCATGTGACGATGTAAATGTTTTAGGTAGTCCTGGTGCAGGTGCTTCTCTTGGAGGGTTTGGTGGTATATAAATTCCACCAGCTGGCACATATGTTCCATCTGCAGCGTAATGTCCTACCTGACTTTTCGTTCTTAAGAAAGCATTTACTAGGTCTGTTTTGGTCTGTTGTAACTCTTTTTCTTGACTTTTCACAACAGTTGCTCTAACGGCGTCATAGGCACTTTGAACTGCCTGTCTCGTTGCTGCATCTGTTATTTTCGTCATATTTTGTGCTACTTCTTTTAACTCTTTGTCGAAACCTTCAGACTTCAGTTTCTTTCCAGATGAGAAGTCGTTCACTTGTTTCACCTTACTATGAAGAGCTTCGAAGGCGTTCTTAAAGTCAGCATTCATTAAAGCTTCATTTGAACTGTCTTCATCCGCTTGTATTTTTGTCCTTATTGACCCTATGAGTTGGGCTGCTTTAGCGTTGGCTTGGGCATCTAACCAGTCATTGTTGGCTTTTATATATTCTGCGCTTTTCATTGCCTTTTGCATAGCCGCGTCGTTATTTTTACTTTCTTGTGCTAAGTTTTCATACTGTACGGTTTGGTTTTGCAACTGTAAAAGTTTTTCTGCCTTTACATTTGCTTCAACTTCCTTTTTATACTCATCGCTATCCATATATGTCTTCAGGGCTTTTTGTTTTATCTCTTCATCTTTCAGTATTTTATATTGAGTAGTATGGTTTTTCAAATTTATGACATCTTGTTCCATTTTTGCTACTTCTGCTGCTTTTTCTGACACTTTTTTTGCATATTCCTCTGTACTTAGTTCTTTCAGTTGTTCTTCTTTCTTCTTTTTCTCTACGTTTAACTCATTGAGTTTCTTTGTGTGTCTGTCATATTCTAGTTTCTTTTCGTTTTCACTTATTTGCTTCTGTATGTCTATGTTTGACTTTTTGACATCTGTTATTTGATTTTTGAGTGAACTCAAATTCATTTGACTTTGAGGGTTATAGGCTGTTCCGTCTGCAGCTCCACCATAGCCTGCCATTTTCGCTAAAAGTGCCGCTCTTAAACCTCCACTCTGTGCACCAACAACTCGGTTTAAAAGCATAGGATTGCTTGACATTTGTTGCAACATAGTGGGGTCATTCAGCATTTGTTGTTGCAACTGTTGTTGTGGTGTCAGTCTTACTATTGGATGTTTCAATGCTCTCTTCCTCTTACGTATATTCTTACGTAGCTTACGTGGCATTTTAAGTGAAGTAAAAAACGGTTTTTGACATATGTTTTATTGTGACTTCTTCGTAAAGACTTTGTTGAGATTTCTTCGTAAATGAGTGTAAATGACCCAAAAATATATTTTAGGTGAAGAGGTGAGATTTCACCTCTTTTTTCACCTCATTTCTCACCTCTTGAATTTTCATGAATTTCTTCGTAAAGACTTTGTTAAGACTTCTTCATCTAATTTCTCATGAACTTTCTTGTCTATGTTTTGTTGAGATTTCTTCGTAAAGACTTTGTTGAGATTTCTTCGTAAAGACTTTGTCAAGATTTCATCGTAAAGACTTTGTTGAGATTTCTTCGTAAATGACCCTAGTAGTATATTTTTGGTGTAAATTTCATGAAAATTCAAGAGGTGAGAAAAGAGGTGAAAAAACAGGTGAAATCTCACCTCTTCACCTAAAATATATTTTTGGTGTAAAATTCTGAGTAAAATGACAGATGGAACACATACTTTTTCAGTAAGTACATATGGGGTAGAAAAGAGGGTAGAAAACGGGGTAGATATACCCTTCTACCCTAAAATATATTTTTGTCTGATTTACGCTCATTACGAAGAAATCTTGACAAAGTCTTTACGAAGAAATCTTGACAAAGTCTTTACGATGAAGTTTTGACAAAGTCTTTACGATGAAGTTTTGACAAAGTCTTTACGATGAAGTTTTGACAAAGTCTTTACGATGAAATCTTGACAAAGTCTTTACGATGAAGTTTTGACAAAGTCTTTACGATGAAATTCATGAAAATTCAAGAGGTGAAAAATGAGGTGAAAAAACAGGTGAAATCTCACCTCTTCACCTAAAATATATTTTTTATTGAATTCTGTATAATATTCTGAGTAATATGACAGATGTTTATATAACACTTTCTCCGGTTTATAGGACCTCTCTCATATTCTATCTTGTCATATCAAAACTCATAGTCATGTTTGTCCTCTAAGACTTCATTTATACTAAACATCTTCAGGGCTAGAAGGCACGAAGTGCCTGGAAGCCCCACTTCCTTTTTTTTTTTTTTTTTTTTTTTTTAATCAAATTCAATGATCTTAAAAGCGAAGGATAAACCTCAAAATTTACGAATATAATGAGTGGGAATATAATGCTTATCTATCATAAAACCATATGAAATATCAATTTTTGCTTTACGCCTAATTTTTGACGACAATTAGCAAAAAATGTTAAATGTTAACACTCAGTCCATTTGAATATGAAAAATAAAATTGACTTTGATTAAATGTTTTTATTTATCATGCAATTCTTCTTGCGACCAAAGATTTGAATAAAAGTTCAAAAAATAAGATAGCTTAAAAAATAATATACGGTAGTGTTTACTAATAGATGAATAGTATATAAATTCTATTAAAATGGATTTGATCCAAAAAAATATATAAAATTTGATCATAAATAAAATTGTTTAGTAGTCATTTAAAATGATGTAATTATTCAAATTTTGCTAAGACCCATTCGTCTTTGATATATAACTCCCATTTTTGCATTTCTGGCTCGTACCAAAATTTTGAAACTTCGAATAATTCGTTAGGAGTGTAATTACTATTCGTTTTTGGATTAATATCGAGAGATAAATGTGGTGTATTGTTGTATTTTTCAATGAACTGCTGAACTGAGTCCTTGATTTGTTGAATATCATCCAACTCGTCTGGCAAAAACTTTTCTAAGCTTGGCCACAGGCGCTCCACCTTGCCGTTCTGTCTTGGCATATACGGCAAGGTGTGCTTCCAAACTATTCCGTTTTCCTGCATAACCTGGCCGAATTCACCGCGGTTTTCACCGCCGTTATCGGTCCAGATGCAGTAAGGAATAAACTCCTCTAAAAGTTTTCTTAAAACCTTCGCTGTTGAGTTGGAAGACTTGTTTTTCAATAATTTAGTTTTGAGAACTTTACGTGTCATATCATCCAATATGGCAAAAAATGGAAAAGAAACATTACCGTGAAGGTAATGAATATCGCAGTGCCATATCAAATTCTTTGATATGGCACGATATTTGGTAGGTGGATCTGCTGGTTTGTAATCTCTTTTTGAAGATAAACCTGATTCCATCATAAATTTTTCCACTTGATGATGCTTTATTTTTTGTAAATTGTCAAAAATTTGATCTTTTGTCAAATCTTCTATATTTTCAAATTCTTTTGCAATTTCTTCTTTTTCTTTCTCACAATCGGGATTTTGAGCAATATTTTGAAACCTTTTAATCAATAAATAAGTTTTTGAAATTCCTCCTTTATATTGTGAAACACAAGAATTAATTAATTGTTTTTGCTCAAATGTTGGTGGATTTGGTTTTCTGCCGCGACTAACTTTTGGTAATTCGATTTCTTGAAGTTGAAATGCTCTTCTTATTGTATTTTCGGCAACATTCAATTTAATTTTACCATTTTCCAATTCAACTTCCCTTCCCACACTTTTGTAAGATTCACCTTCTTCTATTCTTCTTTTAGCTTCAAATAGCCATTCTCTGCTTATAGATTTGGCAGTAGTCATAAAAGTGGTCCTTCTTTTGTGATAAGATTCAAATTTGAATGTGGATGATAAATAAAAATCAAAAATCTCGTAAACGAAAAAGAGGATTTGACTGCGTCAAATCCTCTCTCTCAAAAAGTGGACTTTACATGGCAAATTCCAAATGCATGTAAGGTCCACTTTGATCAGTTTCAGGATGGAATTGGAGGCCATGAGGTACTGACATTGCATCAGTATCTCATAGCCTCCAATCCCTTCAAAAAATGGGAGAAACTTTGGTCGAATAATTTAACATTCGGCCAAAGTTTCTCCCATAATTAATGAGAATGAAAGGGTAAGAGGCATATTGTTGTAAACAGAAATTCATCAAAAGTGACACCTCAGAAAAGCTAAAATATTGAATTTTTGGAACTTTTGATAGAGCACGTTTTTAAATATTAATTAAAGTAAATGTATATTTTGTAAAGATTCTTTTTAATAAAAAAATAAAATTTTGAAGAAGAACACAAAATCTTCTGAAAAATAATATCACATAAACTCATATTATTTTCTAATATATAACTATTTTATATAAAAATCAAATTCAATGATCTTAAAAGCGAAGGATAAACCTCAAAATTTACGAATATAATGAGTGGGAATATAATGCTTATCTATCATAAAACCATATGAAATATCAATTTTTGCTTTACGCCTATTCCCACTCATTATATTCGTAAATTTTGAGGTTTATCCTTCGCTTTTAAGATCATTGAATTTGATTTTTATATAAAATAGTTATATATTAGAAAATAATATGAGTTTATGTGATATTATTTTTCAGAAGATTTCATTCTATATGCCTATGAAAAGTACTCTCAAAACTAACTTTTTCCTAATTATAATTAAATCTAGAATATTGTATTATGCTTAGTATTATTTCATTTTTCTCATTCAATTTAGAATTTACAAATGTCAAAAAATTGAGAGCTGTCACTTTTGATGAATTTCTGTTTATTACACATATAGGGTCACTATATACCTCTTACCCTTTCATTTTCATTTGGAGGTCAACAAACCCGGAGTTAATTGCAAACAATTAACTCCAAATTTGTTTATGTTAAGGAAGGAATTGGAGGGTAAGAGGTACATAGTATTAATATGTACCTCTTACCCTGCAATTCCTTCTAGAAAGTTCCAAAACTTTGGGTTAATTGCAAACTATTAACCCAAAGTTTTGGAACTTTCAAGTGGAGATGGAATGCTTTGGGGTATACATTAATATAATATACCTCAAAGCCATCCATCTCCACTACAAATGGGAGAAACTTTGTCCGAATAGTTTAACATTCGGACAAAGTTTCTCCCATCTTTCAATGTAATTGCTACCTGTGAGGTACTGACTTGAAGTCAGTGCTTCACAGGTAGCAATATCCAAAAATTTAAAAACATTTTATCAATTCGTTAGAGAACTAGAGCCTCCTAGGTACTGAACCAGAATCAGTGCCTAGGGGACTCTAGTGATCTATATAAATCTGAGAAACTTTGAGGAAATTGTTCGACATTTCCTCAAAGTTTCTCAGCAATTTAGCGAGGAATGTTCGTTATCGTGTAGATATTTATAATATATACATGATAACAAACATTCCCCGCTAAAAGATGTAAAATCTTATAAGAAATAATTGCAAAAGAATAACAAATTGCAACAAATTTTATATGAAACTGAACCTTATGAGGTAGTGATTCAAGATCACCGCCTCATAAGATTCAGTTTCAATCTCAAGTATCTCAAAAGTAAGGCTCTATTTTTTGCCATGTAAAGTGTCACTTTTTCTGTCAAACTGTTTTTATCGTTTTCGTTTACAACAAAAATAATTGTTATAATTTAAATGAAGAAGTAATTTAAAACGATTTTATTTATGATCAAATTTTATATATTTTTTTGGATCAAATCCATTTTAATAGAATTTATATACTATTCATCTATTAGTAAACACTACCGTATATTATTTTTTAAGCTATCTTATTTT